ATCACATGGCACTCGCAGTGTGTTTGAGGTTATGTGCAACTTGGCTATTGTTCTTTCACCATGGTGGCACCACCCAGGGCTTTAATTTGGAGGCTCATACATCAGCACAACAGTGGTGTGGCACTCCAGTCGAGCAAGATTAAAAGAAAGCTAGTCACACACACACACACACACACACACACACACACACACACACACACACACACACACACACACACACACACACACACACACACACACACACACACACACAGTGTCAGCTGTGAGAGCTATGACGCACTTCAGGCTCTGTTAATATTGTACAGCAGGCTTTGGCGTCTGTGTGAGCATTCCATTACAGGCATTACATTCCATTACTGTCTCATACTGAGTTCACTAAGCAGCTGTGAACTCCGCTCTGAGCCTCTGTCACCAACACACACACTCCGACTTCTCTTTGTTCACTGCCCCTACCACCTCTCAGATCAGGGGGTATTTGAAAAGCCTTCTTAAGAGATTTGTTTAGTCTGGTAACATGCTCAGTTGTTGATTTCTTTCAACTATAAATGACATGTGAAGTACTTAACATTTTCTTGTTTTTTTAACAATTGCTGATTGGGTGAGAAGACAGAAATCCTTACAACCATCCGCTTTATGTAGAAACAAATATTTGTCTTTGATTAGTTAACAATACTATTTAAATCATTTTTATACTTTGTATGTATGTAATAGTTTAGTGTTAATCTTGAGCGCCTTGTTTTTTTCTACAGTCTTTAGTTCTTACTGTCTGTTTACGTCTTTGTCTGTTCCAGTGGAGACAAAGCACGAATTACTCACCATTTTACCACAGGAAATTGAGTTATGGTAAGTAACGTAACAGAAATGCACAACCACCAACAACCCTGACCCAAATCTATGTTGCCACAACAAGCTTTTGTGGACTGACAAAATACTCAAGACGCTGTGAGAAACATGATTGCAGAGATGGCGACAGATTGAAGCTTTATGGCAAAGCAGAGCATGCATGAGAAGCGCGATGTGTTGCAGAGGAGGCTTACTTTGCAGCATCTGTTTTCTTTGTTTTTGAATTAAAAAATTCGAGTTTTGCAATGCAAATGAGCATAATCTTGCTAGAAAAACCTCTATCAAGTATCAATTTCAGGTAAGTAGGATAAGTTGCACTGAGTAACATTATACTTTTGCAGCAGACAAAAGCACGTCATCATTCAAACTCACAGACACACCAGCCATTCGACTACAAGTTGTACCAGCCAACCGAACAAACAAACCATGAACTCATAAAGAAAAACCAGTGAGCTTTTGTGTGTGTTGCTATGTTGCCATGTTGCCATAACTGCAGTGGAAAAGACAGCATCTGCAGTTGTTTGCAGGCCGTGACATAAGTATGGAGAGCTGGATTGAAAACCTTAGACAGCTGCTGATGAAGGTACCTTTATCAGATGATCTTTGTAATGTTAAGGGTTATCGTATTAGACACCAGCCATAACAACTGCCTCGTTCCATATAGAGAAATACAGAAAATAATTGATCGTTTTCACCACATGTTTATGGTGAGGTGCTGTTTAAGGTAATATTAATCAAAATGAACCAAAATGAGACTTATTTCCGACCTCGGCCTTTACAAATCCTGATTGAAAACAATTTTTTTTATGCTGGTTTTAATACCCAGTAGTGTGGTAACACTTTATTTTGTTGCATTGTATCTTGTTCTTTTTTATTGCTTTTATTGTTTTTATTTCTTTTTATTGTTTTTAATTATTCATTTTTATTTACTATGTATTGTAAAGCACTTTGGTTCTAAAGAACATTTCTATTCACAAAGAACATTTACAAAATCCCACCAATAAGCCCCTCGGAAATGAGCAATATTACAAATAATTTTAATATTCTTCATTCACCTCTGAAGAATATCTTAGTCCTCTGTGCAGCCGGTGAATCCACCCAAATGTCTGCTCCAGTAATGGGGTACTTTTTTTATAAAGTGAAGTCATGTAATTAAAGCAAAGTTATCAAAGTAGAAGTCTGTCATGACTGAAAGAGCAGCAGAAAACTCCCCAGGTTATTTCACACACCACCTACTTTGTTATCAGAAGTTGAGTTTCACAGGAATTAAAGCAAAAAGAAGAGAATAATTCATGGGTGAGGACAAATTGTGTCTAAAAATACAGATATTTGAGGGAAACGTCACACTGCAGTATTGGGGGGTTATTAATTTCTGGTACTTTGTTGAATTTGGTTTTTGTCCAGCTGTTTGCAGGACATTAACATTTGAAAAGTGTGAAAATATTTGCTTCCCAAATAATGAGGCGAAACAGGACAGAGAAAGACTCCTGTAGAGGCTCGCTAAACTCAGTAATTATTTGCTTTTTCATCAAATTTGTTGACTGAAATGTGGGACTTTAAAGTCACATCCTTTGGTTCTCTATGTCCTCCTACTTGGGTGTCATTAAAACTCCTTTGTCCCCTTTAGCGCAGACAAAGTAATAACCTTTTATTGTTGCTGATTTAGTCTCGTCCTTTAGAGAGACAGAAAACCTCTTCCTATTACCTTTTTACTGTGAACTTTATTTGTCACAGAGAATATTTGTGTAGGTAAAGTAACAAAGGCTGCTTCTTCAGTGTACTGACTTAAAATCACATTACAGAAATATCAATCATGTCATTTATGATCTCATTTGTCTCTTTTACATCATAGAGACCCATCCCTGTTTATTTTAGTAAATGTCATTACCAGTGAAAAACTCCTCACAGGAACTTTTAAGAAACAATGGATTTAAACGTATTGCCCAACGCGGCCTTTTTTTCCAGTTTTCTCTGAACCATATTATACAACTTTTTCCAGTAAACTCCTCTCTTCTTATCTGTCATCTCTGAATTTTATCTTTCCCTGCAGACTTTGCGCAACTGGGTAAGTAAGGAGGAGAACAATAATCAGAAAGAGAGAAAGTTCCTCCACCTTATTGCACCACGTGGTCGCATCATAACATAGAGCATCAGAGATTGTGTCACTGTGAACGGCCACAGTCAGCTGGTGGTTGCATCATTGAGCCCAGCTCCTGAATTTCAGCTGCTGCAGCACTTGAAATCAGATACCAGAGATAACACGTCTACTTTGACGCAACATGACTGTGCATTGCAGGTGGATATCATGAGTATCACAGCACTGGTCACAAGTGTTCCTTCTCTTTTCTGCCCCGCAGGGAGGTCTGGATTAAATTGTTCAGTGTCTTTGAAGTGGAAGCCTTCCCTTTACATGAATTCATACATAACCCTGACAATTCTTATTTTTAATTCCTGCACTGTGGCGCTTGAGCAGTATGTCTACATCACCATCGGCATTTGTTACTTAAAAGGGATTCTTATCATAATGAATGAGCAAATAACATTTTACTAATATTGTACTTGTTAGTTAACATTGCAAACACGATAACATGCTTGTATTAGCATTATGTTTTAATACCATGTGCAGCCTTTCTAGACCAGTATTGTGCTTAGTTTACCAAACCGATAAACCAAGTCTAGTCTCAAGCCCTCAGCATTTGAGTCAAGTCTATGTCAAGTCCCCCTCTGGCTCCATGTCCAAGTCAGACATTCAATTTCAGTATTATTATGAAGGAGTGCTGCTTCGATCTAAAATATATGCAGATCATATCGATGAGTATTAGAGTTACAGAGCTGTGCACGCTGACTTCAATGTGCATCACACCTTTCTTCATGCTTACACACACTCAATGTTTCTCCTGCTAAGGCATTAAAAGGTTTACGAATAGATCTCCCAAAATATCTGCTATTTATCAGGATTCTAGCAAACCAAACATCCTGGACCCTGTAGGTGAGTCACATGCTGACATTAGGCTTCTTCTAATTATCAACCCCTTAGGCAAACTATAGCATATCCCCAGGCTACCTTTCCGGATTCATCTTGGGCAGATGTCTGTTTGTGATGTTTGTCTGCAATTGGTGCAATTTTTAGTTGCATGCACCGCTCCACTGATTAAAAGTTTTTAAAGCTTGCACAACTCACCTTTCTGTTGCGATTTTTAAAAGTCCTCAAATATCTGAAACTAAGCTCCTTTTTGGTTTTAACATTGCTTAACTACATAAAGTTCAGTAGTAAATGAGAGCCCAAAGATAACACAAATATCCCAGCATTAATGATGTCTGATCCAAACACACTTGAACACGGCAGCAATCTTCACATGATGTTTGTGTATGTGTGTATTTAAGGGTTTATACACACATGCTAAAATGCTTCAGTTTAGCAAAACACACAGTCGCATAGATGCTGACTTGTTTTTCTGTGTCACCTGTCTGATAGTCTGTCACCTCCCCAGGCTGCAGCAGACCCATGAAGTCAACAGCTTGCATTGACGTCAGCTGGTCAAGCCCTACAATACAGCCAACAGTCTGCAAGAAGTTTACAAGTCTGTCTTTCATCTCTCAAAACTGCTGGTTATACAAGATCTTAGAGCTTTGGTATGTGTGTGTATGTGTGTGCATGTGTGCAAGCTTCTCTAAGTGGGTCATGTGAGTTTGCACAACTGGACGAGGGGCAGGGAATTGGGGCAAGAAAGAAGGCAGGGGTTAGTGTAAGTCAAGCAGATTGTTTGAGACATGGAGCAAAATTTTGGATCTGGCCCTGCAGTCATGGGCTTCTGCTGAATTTGCCAAGGTATTTAGTGGTCTTTTCTGTGAGATTTGCTTCTCCTAGTCCTCATATTTCCCCCCCTTTTTTTATCTTTTCCTCTTGTCCTCTGCTGTTATACTCTGTGTCACACACCAAAATCCTTTCAGGCTGTCTGCCTTTTCTTGTGTAAATCCTCTGCTTGGCTGTGTCTCTGCAAATTTACGAGACTTGACCCACACTTCAAAGGCACTCGGTTATATCACTTTTGGTTCCCTTCTCTGTTGCACAAAGTTATTGCGTGACCTCGAGTCAAATGACAGGAACAAGCACTCTGTTCAAGGGAAGTGAACGCATATCCTGTTGACGTCATGATCTTGTGATGGTCTTGCAAAGGGAAAAACTGGCAAAATAGTTAACTTAATTGTACTACAAACACCTGTTTGGAAAATATCAGGGCCAACAAAGCGAGCAGGGAAGTCGGGGGATTTACTCAGGAAGTTTGCTCAGAAATTCCACTGAAGTTTCTCTCCAGCTTGCGCCGAAAGTCATCTGTCATCTGAAAAAAGGCAGGGCCTACAATAATAAAGCGGGGCTGGCAGCATCTCTCAGGGGGGAGCTGAGTGGGAAAACCCTTTCACTCAGTGACAGTCTGGAAGCATTGACGTAAGCGATGAAAAAAACAGATCGGGAGGACGGAGGCTCCCAAAATGGAAAAGCAAGTGAGTCAGAACGACAGCAACTCACACATCATCAGGCACAAGCACCTTCATAAAGTATACTCTTCACTTATACACACTGTTCAGCCAAAAGTCAGTCTGTTGTTTTTAATAAGCTTCCTAAGATCAAACACAGGTGTCACACAATCTACCACCAAGCTGCTGTAACCACTTTGACGGTTGTTTTTGATGAAGGCTGTGTGTCTGTGCGGCAGATTGATCTCTCGCACGCACCCGACACTCAGCTTATTAACTCCTGTGTCAGAGCTCGAGTTACACATCTGTGAAAACAGAAACCATGGTGCTTACATAAGCCCTGGGCAGCAAGGTCACCGATGGTGAGGTGCAGGAGGTGGCACGGAGTCAGTTTGATGACAAACATTAATAATAAGCTATTAACAATGGAGCCTTTGCTGTAAATGTCAGTCAGTGAGGTGGAGGCAGAGGCCAACTAAGGTTTTCTTTGAGAGGGAAGCACTTCTTGTTCCTCTTGTCTTTGTGTTCCTGTGGTTTTGTCAGTTTTTAATTACTTTAATGACTGCAAAGGAAAACAAAACTCAAGGCAAAAAAAAACAATCATCTGATCGTGTGATGCTTACTAACAATAACTGGGACCATATATGGTTCTGCTATGCGGCAGAATACGTGACATGCTAAAAGGCAAGTTGAATTGCTTTGGCAGCAAAGCACACAGGAACAAACTAAAAACAACATCAACTGCTTTAAAAACATTTATGTGTGCATTCACTTAATAACCAAGAGATGTGTGTCATCATCTTGGCAATGATACACGAGTTTTTATTTTTAAAAAAAGAGACGCACAACCTGCATAATAAAAATAAAATTGAGCCTTGAGGGATGTTATGAGTGATGATGAGCAGTTTCTGCTGTTGGATGAGTTTCTTTCTTTTATTTGAACATAGGGAGCTGAGGATCAAATAATCAGTGAGGCTTTCCAGCAGTGCTGCTACAGCTGTGTTTGACACAGCTGGCAGAGATTACTGATAATGTAATTTTCTTAGGCAAAAAGGTCAACTAAAAATTTACTTAGACACTGTCTCTTCTCTATTCTCAGATCAACAATGAAAAGAGTCTGGAGGACTCAAGACAGACATGGGCTCCTTAGCAAAACTTACTGGAAACATATGCTGCGGTCCAGTTACCTCGGAAGTCAGATGTCGGAGCTGGGAATGACGTTACACCTGAGTTGACGGCATTCAAGTTAACGAGTCAGAAAACCAAGAAGGACACCTACTGATAGCTGTTTTTAGCTGTTGTTTACAATTGTCAGCTGTTGTTAGTTGTTGTTAGTTGTTGTCAGTTGTTGTTCGTGGTTGTCAGTTGTAAACAATGCATAACACAGTATTTTACTCTTACAAATACCATAGCGCCATGTTCACAGTTCGATGTTAGGCAGCAAAAACATATACCACTTATTTAATTTCACAAAAACAAAACAGAAGCGCTAATAAATAATACATTACGAGAGCTTTCACTATTATTTTTCACTGTTGATACACTGTGCTGCCATCTTGAATTATGATGTTGTCATCAAGTCGGGGTTGGTGAGGATCGTCCAACTTTGCGAGTCAGAAATGCGGGGGGTGTTCCAGATGAATTTCCGACTTGGAGCTCGGAAATTCAGACTTCCAATTACAACTGGAATGCAGAAATACTACATAGCTATTGGAATGATGATAGTCTGCCGCCATGCTCAATAAGGAACTGAAGAAAAGCTATTAAAATGCTCAGGAGTATTGGACTTAAAAGAAAAAGAAGTTTACTCTTTGTGACTGATTTTTACATATAAAGTCTGCGTAGTCCAGTATCTTTTGTATGTATTGCAGAGGCTGAGAGACAAGCCTAGTGCTGGTCTCACATGAATATGTTTGATTGGAGCAGATCTCTGTTGTACCAAATGCTTTTGCAGTTAAAACGTCTTCATTCAAATCAATATTTTAAAAAGAGAGCATTAGTAAATTGTGAATTCTGCATGAGAAAAACCACATTTACTGAATGCTCGAGAGACCATGAATGCAAACTAAGTAAAAGAAGCTTAAAATACGGATAAAGATGTTTGTTGTGTGCATGACATGTAATGAGTCCTTTAAAAACAGCTTGACTCAGACGTAATCTGTTAATGGAGGTCCGATTTAAAACATTTCACTCTGCAGCACTGTGACCCTCAGATGAAGTGCTCTGCTGAGTTACCGGGCAAGCAGGCCGTTGCATGTCATGAAGTATTGAAAAGCTGCAGATGAACTTTAGGTTTTGTAACAGAAAAGCCCAAATGTCCCCAGAGAGACACCTACACACAGCCCCGGAGAGCAGTGTCTGTCTGCACACGCTGACACGGCAAGCACAGCCTGACTCACAGCAGCTCCACACTCCGTCTAATGTACCACCTCTTCCTTTCACGGCACATCAGCATCAAACTGTTCTCAGAGGCACAACAAGGTTTGTGTACTCTTGCGTGTGAGGCTCTGTGTGCCAGTGAACTTGTGCACTTGTGGTTATCTGCCCCATTTATCTTTTTTTTTCTTTCTTCCTTGTAGATCCTCTGTGCACCCCTGTGTTTGAATTATTAGCACACTCAAAGTGCCGTTAATGTATCCGCCCATCATTTTCACATTTTCAGATTCCTATCTGCCTGGAAGCTGGTGGGTGTGCGCTTACCCTGGGAGAACATAACTGCGAGGAATTGTATGTTCCTGCCTGCTTCTTTCTTTGGGCTTTAGCTCTGATGTTGGAGAAAAGGAGGTGAACAGCAGGTTAAAGTAGAGCTGGAGGCAAAATTTTAACTAATTAGGAAAACTTAGAAATCACTGTTCACAGTCTATGTTTGTAAGGGTTTGTGCATCAACCTGGGAAGAAATTTTGTTGTCTCAGAGTTCAATACATTTCCCTCTAAAGTGTGCAAAGTGCAACACCCCACATCCCATTCTTCAACACCTCAAATCCTGATTATCCAGACTTAAGCTCTCACAAAATCTCTTGCATCGAACCCATCTTTAGAGTAAACAAACCTGGAGGATGACAGACAGGAAGCTATGAAGGTCATCAAGCCAAACATTGCCAGCTGCTCAGTTACGTGGCACATACCAATTTCTATTGAACTCCTCTTCTCGCCAAATTAATTGTGGATTGTTTTACGGTACAGGTTATGTAAACATTTGTATTGCTGCCTTGACACCCAGTAACTTTATACTCTCTGTTGACTGTTGTTGCCATGGCAGTGTTTGTTGTGCTTCCTTATTTAGTCAACTTGCTTTCTGATTGGCTGTTGTTTCCACAACAGGAAACAATAGTTGCTGAGGCCGTTCCCCTAAAACACAGAAGAATACATGATTGTGAATGTTGGACATGTCTGATATTAATGCACATTGGTGGAAGTGAAATCGCCCACACACCTCACACCACAGGATAATCAGCAAAATATTATTATAGTTATTGAGAAGAATTAAGCGTTTGCTGACTTTTGTCCAGAAGGAGGAATTGGGGCCCAAATTGGCCTGGTTAGCTTGTAGTGAGTAATCTGAGATAAATGATTAATATACTGTAACACCATTGTACTAAATTTTTTGACAAGGATGGGCAAAGACTAAAACAGCATAATACCTGTACTGTCAGCTGTAAGCATGCATGTGCCAATTTTTTAAAGCCAACTATTATCATAAACTTGATCAATGAGGCACTTTTTTTCTCAAACAGAGTTACAAAAGGCTCCACAACTTAAAAAAAAAGAATAGAAACAGAAATAGAAATAGAAATAGAGGTATCAGAGAAGAGGATGTCCTAGGGGTAACATGTAAATAGAAAACAAGAGTGGATCCAGAGGTGACCCCTGAGGTACCCCACTGGACAAATTAGCTCTGGATGATGTGAGTTTCCATTAGCAACACAAAAGACTTTCCAGTTAGATAAGAATGACAATATTTAAAAGCCTAACCAGAGACACCAACCAAAAGGTGAAGGTGATAAAATCATTAAATGCAGTCTAAAAGATCTAAAATTCCCCAGGATCCAAAGCCATTTTATTCTTTGGGACTGTAATCCACAAGTTTCATTGGTATAAAGTAAAAAAATATATAGACAAACTCGTGTATTATCACTAATTAAAAAAAGCACATTTTATGTAGCCAGAAATGAAACATTGAACTGTAGTAGTTTGATAAACAGTGCACCACTATCACTACAGATTCCCCAAAACTGAAGTCTTATTTCGAGCTCTCTATATGCTTCTGCAGCAACGTGGACAAGAGTCTCTTTTACTGGGTTGAACACTTGGCTGACATTTCCAGTTAGGCTAAAAATAAAAATAGAAATAAACTTTTCAACATACTGTCTCCCAAGAGAGATTGACAGAAAATACGGAAACCAATTAATATATTTACCATCCATCGCAGCACAACTTCCCCCTTCCCCTCCCAATCAAGTGCAAAGGTTAGTTTGAACCACTGTGCTCGCCCTCAGGGGCCTGTGAGTGACGCAAGAGAGACATTAGAACAAACTGTTGTTTTGCCCTTAATTTTTTGCTTTATTTCTATCCATAATTAATCAAATACTTGACATGTGGGTCCTAAAAACTCTTTAGTGCAACTGCAAAGGAAAGAAGCTGGAGAGGACATGAAACACAGATATGATGAGAGACGGCACGAGCAGGATGACACACATGTGATTTACAGGGTTTGTTTTGACAGAGGAGTGACGCAAAATGAAGAACTTAAAACCAGGACACGGCCCTCTTTTCAGCTGCCTCCTGCCTCACACAAACCCTGTGATTCCCCACAATGATCTTCATTGTGCTGTGTTCCTGTTTGTAAAGAGGCATTTCCCATCAGGAATCAACCGAAGGATCTCCTGAACTTTTGCGTTTCCATGAGCAAACTCAATGTTATTAAGGCAAATGTCATCTGAGCAGGAACATGTGTTGCTCTTAAGAATCCTTTGAGGAGTTTTTAAGTGGTTATAAAACAGACTGACCACAAGAAAGCAAATGATTCCCAACTTAATAGTTAATTTTAATGAGTACTTCTAAAATGCAGGACAAGCAACGAAGTTTGACGATCAACTTTTTCCAAGTGGGTTGCACAAAATCCTCCCACTAGCTATAAAATAAATCCAACTGGCTGTAAATGGGCCAGCCATTACACATCTTTTTGCTCATTATAATGCTTCAAAAATCAACTGTATTACTTTCTTTTCAAATTATTGATATTTGAGATCAAAATTCACAGTAACTGCACAGAAGTTGTATTTTTCTTTATTTAAAGCTGTAAGGAACTTTTTTTATGTGTCGATTCTGGAAACCCAAACGTAGTCTTTGCTGACTTTGTACTGTAACTGCGTGAAATTTGTTTCTTGACTAAAAAAAATATTATCCTCATTTCTTCCAAAAGCCCCATCATCCCACATGTTAATATAGACTGTATCAGTGGTATGCAGTTACCCACTTTGTGTGACACCTACCCCCGATTATGGGTTACAGCATCAAGAATAACTGTATACAAGTGTTTGTTATGGTTTTGTTGACTTTTTTCTAAGTAAATTTTAGCCTGAGGCTTAAAACATCCCCACTGGAGCTTTAAAGCCATTTTTCCTGATAAAGAAAACAAAAACCTGAAACACCTCCTGCTTCTCTTTCCTATTGTTGCTTCCTTTCTCTCTTTCCTCACTCTCTCTCTGTCTGTGCCATTTCCCCTGCTACAACCTTACATTGTTTCCTACTTTCCCTGTTCCTGGATTTAAACCCAGAACCATTGCCATAGGCTTTCCTGACTGCATTTTATTATGATTGTTAAAAAGCAAACTGATTGTGAATGATGAATTCCCAGTTTCTGAAAAATAAACTTTCCTTTTGAATGAGCTTCAATAAACTGCTCAAAACTTTGATTAATATAGTCCCCTTTCCATCTTTGGATAATTGCTCAGGACACAGTAAACATCTACAGCGAACGCATATACTGTATATAACAAAAAGAGGGTAAAAACAAGTGATAAACCTGTCTCTGTTTCTTTATTTACCTTCATGACTGAGAATATATTGGCGCTCTGTGGCTTTGAAGCCCTGCTTGAATTTTCCTTTAAAAGCTTTTCTGTACATCACCGACAAACCTGCGGGGACATTTGTTCTGAACAGTTTATTGTTCAGTTTGCTGGACAGAGTGTATTCTTCATCATTAAACACTGAACTGTGCTATTTTCAACCTTATTGATTTCTCACAGAGGAATGGCGATGACAATAGCTCTGAGCTCAATCCATTAAGAGTGCTGACGCAAGTGTAACTTTCTAGGCCAGGGGTCGTGATTGCAGGTATCATGACCCAGTGACTTCACTCGTGTGAGTTAGATAATGGCGTGAAGGGCCATACTAGCAGGGTTGTTACTGACACTGGCAGTGAGTCCCAAGTCTGGGTCATATAAATGTTGTAGCGAGTCGGCTGTCGCTGATCACTGACTCGGAAACTGTTGGGGGTCAATTTGTGTCGCTTAGACGGGGACATGTCACAGCACAGTGTGTTTTTGTCACAGTCAAACGTCGATGAGCACATCTGTTTTGCTTTTTTTCATCTCTGATCTGATTTTATAAACACTGAATGATGACTCAACACTATCTGTACTCTGACTTGGCACTTTTCTTACACTTGAAAACTTTTTGTCATAAGTGTGGTGGGATGCTTTAGCATAATTGAAGCACAAAAGCCACTCATATAGAGAATATACTCTATATTATTTAGCTACAAAAATGTTAGCACACTGGTTTGACTTACAAGACTGATGCACGTTCAAATCTAAGATGTAGAGAGCTTAAACTTATTGTAAAACATCAATGCAACTACATTTTAAAATGATGGAGGTGCTATTTAATGTACAGGAAAAAAAAGATATCAATCAGGGGAATATAATCTCCAAAACTGTCGTCGAGAAACAACATTCTTGGCATGTGTTTACATAGCATGGTATGTGTGTTGAAAGCCTTCAGTCTACAGTTCAAACAGGGTTGAATATTAATGCGTGCACACTGTTTAAACAGAAACTGCACGTGCTTGTGGAGTGGTAAGCTAACAGTCGGGTCACGCTCAAAAGTTCCCACAGTGTTTAGACTGAGTGCAGAAGGAGAAAAACACACTTAAACAGATGCATGACCATTGAGTGCCTTATAGGCGAATAAAATAATCATAAAATTAACCTGAAAACAAACTGGTAAGTGTTTTAATAATGGTGTTTATATGATGTATAATGTTCTCTTCTGATTAGAGGTCCTGCTGCAGATTTTTGAATTATCTGCAGTTAAGTTATTGAATTCTTGGACTGACCAGAAAAGCATCAAAGTCGTTTATCATGCAAGTTATAAAAACATGCATTTGTTTCTCAGATTAAAACCAAAGTCATAGAGGTTATCAATCATAGATTTCTTTTGTTTTGACTTTGGTTAAAGCTCCTGTGAGGATTTTTTTTGCATCTATGAAATGTACTGAAACTCATATTGATGACTTTTTATGATATTCAAAAGTGAACAAGACCATTTGCAGCCTGACTGATGGTTTGTTTTTTGGAAACAACTGGTGCAAAGGGGTTGGTGTTTTAACAATCTAAACAATATCTATAACAAGTTACACATTTGACTGTCAAAAGTCATAAGTATAATTTTTTTTATTATCGAAAGACACTTCTCAGGTATGTGACAAACAACATAGGCAATTACTACATTGTCCACAGGGGGCGCCAAAAATTGACGCAAACCAAAAGTTCTTCCTGGGAGCTTTAATGCTGCATTCCCATTACCTTATTACACCCGAGTTGACAGCATTCTATTAAACAAGTCGGAAAATCAAGATGGATGCCCACTGTTAGCTGTTGTTAGCTGTTGTTTACATTTGTCAGCTGTCATTGGCCATTGTCAGCTGTTGTATGTTGTTGTTAGCTAACACAGTATTTTCCGCTTACAAACACCATAACACTGTGTTCACAGTCAGACGTTAGGCAGTACAACATATACCACTTACTTAATTACATAAATAGAAAGCAGAGGTGCTAATAAATAAGACATTACGAGAGCTTTCACTGTTACTCTTTACTGTTGATGCACTGCGCTGCCATCTTGGATTATGACGTTATCATTAAGTCGGGGTTGGTGAGGATAGGTCGACTTTCCAAGTCAGAAATCCGACTTCGGGGGGGCGTTCCAGATAAATTTCCGACTTCTGAGTACAACTGGAACACAGCATATGTTCAACTGGATCCAGTTTAGAGGCCAGAGTCTCTCTCTGAATCTCGGAACCAAAAATGAACGCCTCTGTGTTGTTCTGGTTAAGCTACAAAATTTTGTGACATTTATGCTTTAATATTTATCATACAGTTAAAAAGAAAGTCAAATGACCTGGTGTCACTCGGAGCCGTAGAGCTGAGTGTTTGGTGCTAGTGTCCTCTAGTCCTGCCGGTAGTTGGTTTGGAAAAGTTGGTGCCAAGTCATACCCACTCATGTCTACCATGGCTCTCTGGTTTGTGGACATACTAATCAACCCAGTACCAATGCACTGGGTAATAAACTTACTATCGACCTCATACAATCCAACTAAACTCTCTCTCTAATCCTCCTCTATGGTTTGATGTACATTAACTCATCCTAGACTAGACTCAGTGTGATGTGGTATCATATTCTCTCATTTCAGTGTTTTTTTCTTTTTTTGGAGCTAATTTTGTTTTTGCGCAGATAACTTCCTGAACTGTGCGAAGAAATAAATCTGTGATTAGTATGAAGACTCTGATTCACCGTCTTTGATGAGTATATTTATGCTGGAGACTAATAATTAACCTCTAACTTTATAATTGCCTTCATTAGTCTAAGACAGCATTAAAAGGCTGATAGAGAGCTGAATGTGCGTCATGGTTCATTTTTAAATGCACCCACTGTTTTCCTCTCCCGTCACGTACTGACATTGATTTATGCCATCTTGAATATCTTTTGATTCTGACAAATTAGTCATTTAAAAAAGTTGTTCTTAAGAAGCTGTTGTAAATACTGGGCATGGAAAAAGACCCGATCATGGACCATATAAAGGAAGTTGTGTTTGTCTTACTATTTAAAGCTGGTGTTTATAATTTTAAAAAGATAAGAGGAAGAGAGGAGAAAGGTTTAAGAGAAACAAAACAGCAAAAACACAGACTCTGTGTGAATAATAATCGCACAGATCAGAAATCTGTCTTTTAATAGACATCTATATGATCTCAGGGTTGTCTAGTCTCACTGCTCTTGAGTTTGAATCTAGGGTCCTTTTTCAATGCTCAGAAGGGCATGATATAGAAATGACCATGCAGTACATGTTCATATGTAGCTTTAGCTGATACGCTCCATACTCCCCACATTGAAGTGCAGGAAACTATCACAGTAGTATTGTTATTGTGATATTTCATGGCCACAATAAGTGACAAGTGAAAGTCTGACATTGTGACAGCCCATTTTCTAACATCCCTCTACAGACTTCCCTTTAGTTTTCTCTTATTTCCCCCCTTTCTTCCATCTCAGGAAAATGAGGGGGTAGGGGGATGTAAAGTGTACAGCCTTACTTTGCAGTGTTGAGCCCAAACAGGTGTCTCCCCCTGGCTTTGTTCTCCTTTTCCTCTGTCTAACATTTCTCTACAGACCTCTCTCTTTGTCTTTTCCTCTATTTTGTTTGTGTGTGGGTGAGGTGGGAGGTGAGTGTTATAGAGGGGGGATGATTCTGGGATGCCAGAGCTCATTGTTGTTGAGCCTCTCCAAGGTGTTGCAGGCCTAATTTGAAGAAACACTGGTGAAGTTAAACCCGGTGATGTAGTGGCTCTCACTGCCCATCCATCCCCATCTATTTTCAGGCCTGGGTTGCAGGGAACACGTGGGCCATGTGGTAGGTTATGTAACTTATCAGTAGAGCATAAATTTTGCAATGAGGGTGTTATTGGATGGTTTCTTCACTGAGTTCTCATCTTTCTTATTAGAGCACTTGTGTGTATAACGGGATTCTTGTAAATGTCACAAAAGATTTTCGCTGAATTGAGTGGAGCTGTTGTGTGAGGCACAGAACGAATATGTGTGGTTTGGAAATGAAGAACTTGTTGGTCTTTGGGGGACTAATAAATAATTTTTTACTGAAGTTGTTTCATCTCATCCCCGACAAACTTTTCTCATGACATGACCTTGACTGACTTTTGTCTGTTGTGTCCTGAACCGACTTTTGTCTGATGTATCCTGAACAGACTTTAGTCTGATGTGTCCTTGACCAGCTTTAGTCTGATGTGTCCTTGACCAACTTTAGTCTGTGTCCTTGACCAACTTTTGTCTAACTTTGTCCTTGACCAACTATAGTCTAATGTGTCCTTGACCAACTTTAGTCTAATGTGTCCTTGATCAACTATAGTCTAATGTGTCCTTGACCAACTTTTGTCTAATGTGACCTTGACTGACTTTAGTCTGTGTCCTTGACCAACTTTAGTCTGTGTCCTTGACCAACTTTTGTCTAACTTTGTCCTTGACCAACTATAGTCTAATGTGTCCTTGACCAACTTTAGTCTAATGTGTCCTTGACCAACTTTTGTCTAATGTGTCCTTGACTGACTTTTGTCTGATGTGTCCTTGACCAACTTTTGTTGAATGTGACCTTGACTGACTTTTGTCTAATATGTCCTTGACCAACTTTAGTCTAATGTGTCCTTGACCAACTTTTGTCTAATTTGTCCTTGACCAACTTTAGTATGATGTGTACTCGACCAACTTTAGTCCAATGTGACCTTATATGACTTCTGTCTAATGTACCCTTGACCAACTCTTGTCTGATGTGTCTTTGACTGATTCTTATTGTGTGTCCTTACCTGACTTTTGTCTGATGTGTCCTTGACCGACTTTTGTCTGATGTGTCTGGTTAAGTACCTCCTGTTCAGGTGTATAAAATGGCCTTGGAATAAAACATCCCATTGACTTCGACAAGAAAACAAATAACCAAACTGAGCTAACCGCACCCTTTAATGTCGTCAGAATCCGATCGGGAATGCTGTTTGAGCCTGGGGGTATTATTCTTGACATTTGCACTTATTTCACTGGGAAATTAAATTAATCTTAAGAATAACAAGAAAAGCCTCGCTTATTCATGTACCCTTATGTAATATTCCAACTATATTTAATCAGCTGATGAGTAATATCTTGTTTCAGGATTTTAAATAGAGAATACCACGAGTTTCCAAAGTGCCCCAAATGTGACTCACTGACTGAATGAAAAAGTGTTTGGATAAAACATCTCCTCTCACATTTTTTCACACAACTAAAAGAGCAGCTTCCTGGTTTGATGCAATACTTGTCTCAAAGCTTTCGTTGGAAAAACACCCTCATCAGTGTGGAATAAGTTCAATCTTATTATGATGTCTGTCTGAAGGCTTCTCTCAGCTTGTTTCCCCAACGTGGATAAAAAAATACATGAGTCAGAAGCATAATGGCTTATCTGTATTTCACACTTCTCCAATTCTGATACAGTATTTGTTCTGCCATTGGATATCTCGACCCAAGGTGTCAACCAAAGTTTTAACCAATCTTTTTCACTCAAGTAGTTTTACTTTACTTTACTTTAAGTAGTTAATAGCAGAGAAAACTAAGTCTACAGTTGTGTTATTCACTAAAGAACATATTGAACACAGGAAGTAAATGCTTCTGAAACTGACAATGGGAATTTGTCTAAGTTAGGTCAGTTGTTTATATTAGTTTTGTCATTAGATGATGGATAACATTGTTTAACAGAAGCTTGTGGACATGGTAGTCTTTCATAGATTCTCGCTCCATTAAATATATAAACCAAATGTATGCATTTTGTATTTAATTCATCTTTTATAAAGGAATAAAAAACAGTAGGGGAAAACACATTCAAAGACTTCTGAAATGTAGGCGTTTACGTCATCTAAACATTTTTTCCATTTAGCATTTAACTACTTAACAATAAGAACATTTTATAAAGAACCTTCACTGTACAATTCATGAAATAAAACCAAGAAAAGAATGTACTTATGGAATGCTGGTGCTTTTGTAAAGGTTAAAGGTGAAGTACAGTGTATCATAAAGAATTGTTGAACAACTTTTGGATGTTTTAAATGAAGAATGATTAAACATCGTCAGATATAACATCACAGTTGTTAAAATAAACTCAATGTTCAAACAAAAAGCTTAACACGTATGATATATATATATATATATATATATATATATATATATATATATATATATATATATATATATACATATATATATATACACTCACCGGCCACTTTATTAGGTACACCTGTCCAACTGCTCGTTAACACTTAATTTCTAATCAGCCAATCACATGGCGGCAACTTAGTGCATTTAGGCATGTAGACATGGTCAAGACAATCTCCTGCAGTTCAAACCGAGCATCAGTATGGGGAACAAAGGTGATTTGAGTGACTTTGAACGTGGCATGGTTGTTGGTGCCAGAAGGGCTGGTCTGAGTATTTCAGAAACTGCTGATCTACTGGGATTTTCACGCACAACCATCTCTAGGGTTTACAGAGAATGGTCCGAAAAAGAAAAAATATCCAGTGAGCGGCAGTTCTGTGGGCGGAAATGCCTTGTTGATGCCAGAGGTCAGAGGAGAATGGCCAGACTGGTTCGAGCTGATAGAAAGGCAACAGTGACTCAAATAACCACCTGTTACAACCAAGGTAGGCAGAAGAGCATCTCTGAACGCACAGTACGTCGAACTTTGAGGCAGATGGGCTACAGCAGCAGAAGACCACACCAGGTGCCACTCCTTTCAGCTAAGAACAGGAAACTGAGGCTACAATTTGCACAAGCTCATCGAAATTGGACAATAGAAGATTGGAAAAACGTTGCCTGGTCTGATGAGTCTCGATTTCTGCTGCGACATTTGGATGGTAGGGTCAGAATTTGGCGTCAACAACATGAAAGCATGGATCCATCCTGCCTTGTATCAACGGTTCAGGCTGGTGGTGGTGGTGTCATGGTGTGGGGAATATTTTCTTGGCACTCTTTGGGCCCCTTGGTACCAATTGAGCATCGTTGCAATGCCACAGCTTACCTGAGTATTGTTGCTGACCATGTCCATCCCTTTATGACCACAATGTACCCAACTTCTGATGGCTACTTTCAGCAGGATAATGCGCCATGTCATAAAGCTGGAATCATCTCAGACTGGTTTCTTGAACATGACAATGAGTTCACTGTACTCAAATGGCCTCCACAGTCACCAGATCTCAATCCAATAGAGCATCTTTGGGATGTGGTGGAACGGGAGATTCGCATCATGGATGTGCAGCAGACAAATCTGCGGCAACTGTGTGATGCCATCATGTCAATATGGACCAAGCTCTCTGAGGAATGCTTCCAGCACCTTGTTGAATCTATGCCACGAAGAATTGAGGCAGTTCTGAAGGCAAAAGGGGGTCCAACCCGTTACTAGCATGGTGTACCTAATAAAGTGGCCGGTGAGTGTTATATATATATATATATATATATATATATATATATATATATATATATATATATATATATATATATATATATATATATATATATATATATATATATATAATAAATATTCTAACATTTACCCTTGATGGACTCATGGTAAACTCACAGTTACTTCTCTAAGCACTGCCTTGATGTATTCACACTGCCCCCCTGTGGTTATATGTGGCATAGACATGATGACAGTAGGCTAAGTGGGGGTTTAAGATGGGGCACAAGTGGTAAATATTTGATTTTCATGTTTGAGAAACAAAATTTGAAAGTTACTTTCAATCTCTAACAATGAAAAAACATTAAAGATATCAAAGTCTTTGTGAAATTACAGTTAGGATTTTAAATTCTGGAAAAGTTAAACTCTCCTCAACAAACTCCAGAAAACTCAAAATCAGCCCTGTGCTGGCCTGAAGTTACCTTCTGCTTATCATCTGACTGAGACACTCAGCTTCGCTTTAATCATCCTGCCAAAGATGAAGATCTTTCAAACAGATCACAAATATGTTGTCTTTAAAAATATAAATAAATAAAAAGGGTGCTGCAATTGCAAATGTTACCAATTCAAATTTAAACCTAATCCAAACGTAGCTCTACAACTTTATCCCTAAAACACTAAAAGAACGAGACATGCTAAAGACCTCTCAGTACTTGAGTTCTTCTTTTTGGTACACAGGCAGTACCAAGTACTGGTCAAGTACATCTGAAAAAGAGACAAAAATATTGTGTCACTCAGACGAGGAGGGACTCTGCCTCTTATCTGTGGTGATGTAGTTGAGAAGATCAGCTGCTGTTACAACACCAAACACCATCGGCCTCCTGCAGGCTGACCCATCAGCAGCATCTGGTGAGAGATGGATAACTGGTTACAGGTCTGAAAATATGTATTATACAGTATAATTAATCACCGCCACTGCAGCCACCCACACACCAAATTTAACCCATTAAATGCCAATAAAAATATCAGAAATGTGTCTTACACTGGATTTGATCGTGTACCACCAGTGCAAAGTTGTCTTGTTTGAGGGTACTGGACAGCTTTCCCAGGCTGTCAGTCACGTGCACCTGTGGATAGAAGTATTTGACAAACATGAAAACAAAGATCGATATGATGCAAATTTCTACATATTTAGACCAAGTGCTCAATGTGTTTCCACTGACTGACCTGTTTAAAATCCTTGCAGAGCACCTTTGAGACCACATCTGAAGGTTCAGCCTTCCCCGCTGACACAGAGAACAGGATGGTTCCCAGAGTCACCATCCCGAGGATACGACTGTCAACAATGATAAAATCTTAACTATAACACACTTTTTGATGGATAAAAGAGATTTTGTTTGATAAGTCAATGAAATAATGCTCAGATATGTCCAGAAACAAAGTCAGAAAATTAAGTAGTTATTCAATTAGTATTAGTCACGCATGAAGAGACTAAAAATGAACAGATAAATATGGTTTGAGGAGTTTTACCCTGATTCATCAACAACTGGGGCCTGATCAAACGCTTTCTTCTTCAAGATCTCAACGGTGCTTCGGCAGGACACGTGTGGGGACAAAGTGAGGGGGGCAGACAGGTGCAGATTCTGGATCGTCATGTTCCACCACCTTTAGAAACACAAATGAGTGACTGACTGCTGAAGTGGGCTTTTAATTAGCTGTGCCATCATATCCTCATGGGGGATTATCTCACCATGGTTTGGGATCTGTAGGGGCGTCCACACTGTAGAAGCCTTTCTCACGCATCCACTCGTCACTAAGGAATTTTGACCTAGAGACGAGAAAGTTAAACAGAGTCATTTTTTTTGTTTTTTTTAAATAAGAAAAAATGTCAGTGATGTTGTCAGATAATCCTGGATTAACCTTTAATCTGGAAAAAAGCTCTAAGAACATTTGTGGACACAATTTTCTCTCAGAAGGAGCGACTGCTGTGTGGTTCTTCTCATGTATTTTGCAGCTCCTTTCATTCCTAATTAATTCCAGTCATTTGAAGTGTGCAGCTGTGATGTGGCTCAGACTCTTTCCTTTGAGCTGCAGTGAGGAACTCTGATTTTGTGTCAGTTTTGACCACCCAGGAGGGCAGCCATCTATCCCTTTTGCTTGATTTGGTTACTTCTTTTTACTCTTACTGTGAAATTTTCAGTCAAAGTAATTAATTGCTCTGTTGGACCGAATGTCAGCACCAACTGGCATGAAAGGATTTACAAGCTCCTGGAAAGGAACCAGAAGATAGCGGTAATGCAGCACTGTGGATACCAGCTACATTAAACATCAAATATGAAGACTGCTGACGTATTTCCTTTACTTTAGTCTGTCGTTGGTCTTTGTTTAGTGGTTTAGTTCTTTGCATGTCTATAGTTCTCTGTGTGGTGGTTTCTGTGATATTAATAGGTCATGTTATGAAATTTGTTAGCAGCATGGTCATTAATAGTGTTTTAATGAGTGCTTTGCAACAGCAGCAACTTTTCCCAGGAGCTGTTTGACGAACTGAAATGACATTGGTCTGATTTGTGTAATTATAACACGACTTCAGGCCACTGTGGAAATGCAGACAACAATAAGCCACAGAAATTAAATACTTCTGTGGAGGGGAGTTCTTGGAATTAAATGGTTCCTAGTATTTTTGGTCAGAATGTGCCTAAAGTGTTTCTTACATGTAGTTGCGGACAGAATCGGCCAAGATGACGACACAGCGCTGCCCCTCCTCAAGCTGCTGAGCCATTTTGACGGCTGCTGCCATAGCTGAGCCTGAGCTGCCACCTGGAGGAAAACAAGCCCATTAGCAAACACATCTCAAGAGCAAACTGATAAAGACAGCACTCAAAACCTTTACATTACAGATGCAGGAAGTTTCAAAATATCATATGAAAGTGAACTTGCCGCACAGAAGACCCTCCTCTCTGATGAGCCTGCGTGCCATGGTGAACGTCTCAGTGTCACACATTTTATACCAGATATCCACAAGCTGTATGGAGAGGACGTTATAGCAGTTTATCAAGGTATGTCACAAAAACATGATCATCGTTCCATATAAAAACATGCTTTAGTATTACTTAATGCTGTGTAACAACACTAGATTTGGAAATAGAAATGTAAGTATGCACAAAAACACTCACAGATTGATCAAACACTGTGGGGACGAAGTCATATCCAATGCCCTCCACTTCAAATGAAGTCTTTTGTTTGTTTTTCTCTTTCGAACCACTAAGAATGGAGCCCTCAGGGTCCACAGCGACAATCTAAAACAAACAAGACAGCAGAGTCACAATTAGGAAAAATGGCAGCATTAGGTTAAAAAGAAGAAGAAGAAGAAGAACAAGAACAAGAACAATTCAATAGCTCTAAAAGGTACAGTAGTGTTTGATAGAGAGGATAACATGTGTGAGGTTCCACTTCTGTACACAGGAACCATCTGAGTGGTCATGAGCTGCATACCTGACCGCTGATGAAGAGAATTTATTATTTATTTGACACTATCTCTGTAACACATTATAAATATATGTATTATGTGTTATAATCATGTTATAGCACTGTATAACTATAGCTACAAACACTCATAAATGATCATCATGCTTTATAGCAACAATCATAACACATTATAAAGCGTTTTATCATCAGTTACAAGGTCATGTGTTGTAATGTGTTATAATTGTTAACAACAGTTGCATTGCATTATCTATGTGGGCATTGTCAGTGAGTTGTTAACAGTTATGACACATTATAAAACCTGACCTTGTAAGTCATGATAAAATGCTTTATAATGTGTTGTGATTATTGCTATGAAGCATTATGATCATTTATGAGTGTTTATAACTATAGTTATACAGTACTATAACACGATTATAACGCATTATACATATATTTATAATGTGTTATAGAGATAGGCGCCAAATAAAGTGTTACTAGAAAAGGTTCTATTGGGAAGAAGAAGAAATCGTCTGTTGGACAAACTCTGATCTGTCTGTTTGGTCAAATTTGAGTGAGTCGGATGTTCATATTGGACTGCATTAGATTTTCCAGGTAGTTTAATTCCTGAATGATATGTACCAGTATATCTAAGTGAGTGTATTTCAGTTGCCTTCACCAGAAGTGGAAGGAAAAGGGTTTAAAAACTTTAAGAGGAGGGACTTCAAAAGCTTTAATACAACAGGTCTAATAGGTCATTTAAAAACAGATAAGAATCACTTTCTCTAATTTCATCAAACAAAAGAGAAACATGAGTCACTATAGAGCGTATTTTTTACCTTTAAATGAGGGCATCTTTCCTTCAACTTCCTTGCGACCCCAGTGAGTGTACCACCTGTTCCAGTTCCAGCCACCAACATGTCCAATTTACCTGAGAGGAAAAATTAGTTTTATAAGAGCTTTATTACTGGATAACAACAAACAGATATACATATTGTAACTAGTGGTAATAATAATTATACACAATCTTTATAGCAGTCCTCTCAAAACAAAACACACACCATCACACTGCTCCAGTATCTCCTCAGCTGTGGTGTCATAGTGAGCTAGGGGATTGCTGGCGTTGCGGTACTGGTCTAGAATATGTGAGTTGGGGATCTCGTTGTGAAGACGCCAGGCTACACCCACGTGAGACTCCGGTGAGTCAAAAGCTGCATCATTAGCTGTGCGCACCACCTCGGCCCCCAAAGCTTTCAGCACATTCACCTTAAAACACAAGATCACAACATCAAAGTCAATCAGGGGATTATTTTCTAAAAATAACTTTGGAGAAGGCGTGATCATTAGAAGAGATTCATACCTTCTCCATGCTCATCCTCTCTGGCATGGTTATGATGCAGCGGTAGCCTTTGACTGCTGCTGTAAGGGCCATGCCAATACCTGAGAGCATCAAGAGGAAAACAAGATTCACAATTTTTTATGCTCTTCTGCACTTTTTTTATTATCAAATACATTTTTCATTGTTATAGACTGTGTGGCGGTCTGTATGCACCTGTGTTTCCAGAGCTTGGCTCAATAATGGTGTCCCCTGGTTTGAGGATCCCGGCTCTCTCAGCATCTTCCACCATCCGCAGGGCAATCCTGTCTTTTATGCTCCCTCCTGCATTAAAGAACTCGCACTTGGCCACTAAACACAAAGGACAAAGTCAGTGCCATGTGTTGTGGTTTCATATGAAGCCTAATGTGGTTTATTGTTAGTCAAATGTATTCTTCAATGCTGTATACTCTTTAAAGCTTGTTATCTCCTTTAAGGGAAGGGGAAAAAGCTTTGATGCATAATAATCTGCTCAACATTCATCATTCTGTGTATGTGTAAGAATTGAATCTAATGAAATAAATGTCAACAGTACAGATGGAAAAGGCATTTTACTCACAAATCTCACACTTGATTCCAAACTCTTTTGGGATTTTATTGAGACGAACCAGAGGAGTGTGTCCAATTTTTCCCAGGATGTTTGGGAGGATGCTGGAGGTTTCGGTGCTGTGATAAAATTCAATTTCAACAGGACATATAAGTCAAAATGTATACAGAAATGTAGGGTCATGTAAATAGTTCACTATCTGAAGGTATGTGGTACTGGTGGATTCAGAAACTGTCATTTACTTACCTTGGTGGCAGACAATGAGGAGACTCTGAGATAGGTGCACCCAGACTCCACGTGCACCTGCTGGGTAAATCAGGACGGATCCAGTTTCTCTGAAAATGAACCTCTCTGCCGTCTGGCTCACTTTTGTTACTTTTCCTACTTTCAGCTGGAATCTTCTGTGGGTCCTGATCCTCACTTGGAGAGAGCCTGTGAGCACTGCTGGCAGCCCCAGCATCCACATTCATAGTGGCGGACTTTGAACATGGTGTGGTGTCTGCATTTTCACAGTTTGCTGCATATGGGCAATGATTGGAGCTTTCAAAAGCAGAGGGCATGGTTCACCTGCAGGGAGGTGGGACAGAGATGTTAAAATCAGCCAACAGCCATCTTTCGTTCCCGCTGTATCTGGATTTTTTGTTTGGAATTTGCTCCTCCTGCTCACCCAAATCTGCTCTTACAGTTTTGTTTCCTCAACCCCCAACCCTTCACCAGTTCCTCTTTAGATGTTCACACTCTTTTAGCTTTGCACCTCAACCCCTTCCTGCTTCAGTACTGGCATTTTTTTTAAAAGTAGAAACCTCACAATCTTTGATATGTTCTCTCTCTATGCTCACATACTTTCGTATGATCACTGTGATGAATGAAGGCTGATGGAGCCTCTGATGGTGTTTATTGATGTTTCAGCCCCTCAGACAGATAACAGGATGGGATTTGGTGATGACATGACATCATGGTATTTATCAACAGTGGGTGACCCCACCTACTGAATGGCTTAACTGAGAGAATAGCCTAGGACTAAATCAAAAACCATTCAGTGGTTTAATAACATTAACTTAGCTGGAGTTTGATCAAATCAGTATCTTCTGAACATGTCAAGACACAAAGCTGGATAAATGGTGCTACTTCAGGCACTCTGATGAGATTAGATCAACTGCTTCTCTGTTGCTTAACAATGACAATCAAAGTTCAGGGGTCTTAAATGAAAGAGTATGATTTTGATTGTTTCTTCAATGTTGTATTTGTCTTTGAAAAGTTTCTTTTTCAGATAGTGGGCCACAACAAATTCAATCAAATGCTTTTATCCAAATTTTAAGGTGTAATTTTGGAAGTTTGTCTCCAACACGAACTGTTTGATTTTTAAAATATTTTGAACCAGCTGAAAAGGCCTTTTTGTAACAACAGTCAACAAGCACAGATTTAAAACATTAACTCTGAACCATGAAGCACAAGTGACAACGAACTGAATCACAACTATACAGACCCACAATATCAACTTTTGTCTACGAACCTCATACTTAATATATTTAACAGGCTTGAGTAATTAATGTAGTAAAAAGGTCTCATATTTAAATTAGTATCAGCCATAAACTCAGGCCTCCAGATGCACTAATGAAGACAGTCAATCTGTGAAATTCCCTCATTTTGTAAACTTTACTTTAACTCTTCATAGAATTAACTTTGCTCCATGTTTTAACTGGATTAATGAGCTCTTTATCTGTGACATCAACATCCAAATGTATCTGGATTAAGAACAGTCTTCATTAAAATGATGCAGAATAAAATCTGAACAAAAACATGCACTCACCTCTCCAACAAACGACGACTCCACCAACCAACAGAGCTCAACAAGTGAGAGAGAGTCGATCAGAGCTGAGGAGATAGAGTGGACCAGGGTCTCGGTCTGATAAGAGGAGATCTTTGGAGGATCAGTTGCTGCGTACCCTCCTTTTGACCCTCCTGTTGTTGTCAAAAACATGCGTAACTGAACAGCAAATCAATGCAGAGGAGGCAAGATCTGAAGAGCAGTTTGGGAGTCTTTATTGTAGATGACCAAAATCACCTCTCCTTTCACTAACTTTTTTTACTGTTTGGTGTGTTTGTGGACATAATAGATGTGTGTTACAATTGTGCATCTCTTAAGTGTGTGTATTACAACTATGAGCCTGTTTAGGTCTGTGTTGCGAGTGCGAGTCTCCTACGTGTGTTACATGAACGGATCTCATCCAGTCTGCCTGAGAGGTGAGCCAAGGACATACCGAAATGTTTTGAAATCAGCCACATTAATACATCTGGAAACACTCAACCTAGTTTTTCTGACCACCACTGCAAATACTCAGGCTGTCCTTACAGTTGTTTTCAAGACTCAGATATCTATCCAGAATGAACTTTATGAATATTTACAGTATAAATCTTTGGAAGAAAACAGCTGATATTTCATACATCCATTATCTGTTACTGTCATACCATATTACTCTCATTTATTTGAACTTTCTTCTTTCTTTATGACTTTAAACAATACAAGAATAATGTACATGAAACAAAACACTCTATATTTCTAAATGGCAGAACTACAACTGCATTGACTAAAAGTGATTTATCATTTTTTCCCCCTCATATCAACCCTGAGTATTCTGTCACAAAAGCAAAAAACAAACAGTATTTTTGCATATTTAATGTGGGTCTTCTTCAGGTTAATGAAAACATAACATGGTCCTTTTAACATCCAAAATAAATTAGCTTTGTGGCAATAACAGGTTGCTGCAAAAAACATCTGTGAACAACTACAAAGAAGGCAGATTCCCTTGAACACCAAAAATGGCAAGCATGTATTTAGGCGAGGTACACCCAGAATAACTACAAAGGGTTCCCCTCGTTGACACAAATCATACATAGCAAAGTATTTATAAAAAATTAACATAAATCTTAGTCAAAGTTTCGTGACGTCCCATAAAGATGGATACAGTAATAATGAGCAGGAAAGTACCGCTACTACAGACAAGTGAAGCTTTTACATTCTTAGTCTAACAGACGCAAGCAGTTGAAGCTGAGAATAACCAGAGGTTATAAAGAACACATGAACGAAACTTACGGGATTCTTCACAGTGAATCTGGAGTTATGACAAAGTAAAAAGAAACCACTGAGAAATAAAAGAGGATGAATTTAGTTAACAGAGGTTTTTTTAGCTCTAACATTTTTAGCCCAAAACCACAGGATTAAAAAGTACGACAGAGCCTTGGTGTGTTTATATCTTGCCAATGAGATAATGCTGCTGATATTTGACAAAGAAGGAAATTTGAACTGGAATGAATTTACAATTAACCCTTTAAGCTTATTCTATAGTTACAATGAAGTCCCTTAAATTTCCCGATAGCGATTCAGAGTGAGAGCACCTCAGACGTGCATTTATTTTCACAGAGGTAAGACAAGATAAAACATTTAAAAAATTCCTTTTGTTTCCACGATACAAGTTTTCACCAGTTGTGCCTATTCCAGGTAATTTGCTGATATAGCTGCAGGTCAAAGAGCTTAAATTGGGGAATTCAGTTCAAGAAAGCTTCCTGCTTAACTCTCCAGAGAGTCTAGAAACTCCTCTTCAATGATTTGCTCAAGCCTCTTCAGGACTGTATCTGAACAGGATGCTGGGTAATCTGCTACTGGGTAGTGGCGCATGGAGTCGCTGTAGGGTGGAGGCCCCTGGAAGGAGCAGCAGAGGATGCGAAGGAAAGGCAGCAGCTGGGTGATGGAGGATAGGGAGTGCTGGGTGAGGAGGGGGAACTCCAGGTACTCTGTGGAGGATTCCTCACTGAGTCCATTCAGGGTCTGGAGAAACATCAAGATGGGAAATTCAGGGACTATCAACTCAATAGTTGTGAGACGCTGACTCTCTGAAAAGGGTAGACCTGCCTAAAGACTTTGTAATGGTCTGTATTTTTCCACACATGCTTACCCCAAATCGCAGCTGGATTCCTTCCAGGATCTTGACAACATGAGGAGTGCATTCCTGCTCACCCTCTATCAGTGCAGTCTCTACAGGACCACTGTATCGCTCCACATCCACCTCAGGAACAAACGCCCAGCGATACCTGAACAAACAAAAGATTACTTACACATCAAACGGCGCACTAGTAAATGTAAACGTGAGATATGTCAGTCTGTATGTTTGAATCCTACATCTGAAAGAGTGGTATCTTCTCTGGAGGAAACGCCAACGACGTGTCCAGAAACTTGCAGGCTGACAGGTACATGTCCAACTCAGCCTGGGAGAAATTCACCGGTCCGTTCCTGTCAACGGCGCTGCGCACCACTTTAGCCAGCCTAGGTGGGAGGAACAAAAAAAAAACAAAACAAAGATGGTTAGAGAGAAAAGTTTCAACAGAGATTCTCAACCAAACATGATTGAATGACTTAAGATTATGAACGAACTTGGAGACGTCTTTTTCTATCTGTAGAGTTTTCTCTAGTCGTGCAAATATGCGAATCTGAAAAACAAACAGAACATGTTTGCATTGTTAGTGTCAAGGTAAGCATTTTCACAATGATGCTGCTGTTTCAACAAAGGAGCTAAAAGAGGTCATACCAGTTCTGTGACCATGATCGGCCAGAGGGATGTGAGGTGCTGGCATGAAATACGCAACAGGAGAACACGAAACATCAGGAATATCTGCGCTGAGACGGCAGGGCTTGGGTTCATACGCAAGGTCTCAGTGAGACGCTCTGAGAGGAAACGGAGAGAGGTTTTACAAGAACCAAGTCAACTTCAGTGTCTTTATTTTTGACTCTTAAGTAAACATGAAAACAGTACCTTGGATGAGGGGCAGGTACAGATGATACTGGTCCAGTTCCCCGCTGAACATGGCAAACGCTTGACGCTTCAGCAGCATGGGTTTCTGGTCTACATTAGAAAACAGTTTCAGGGAGCTGCTCTGCATGCCTGCAGCACAAATAAACACAGACCTGTGTCAGCAAATAACTGAAATGTGTCTGTAATTTTAGTCTTTAACACTACTTGTACAACTGGAATTGTAACCACATGTTAAAACTTTGTGTGATTTAGACAAATTTTTCTTCTGTGTCTCGAATAATATCTCATCGCAGGATAACGCTTGTGTTATTACAGCACCAAAAACCTTTACAAGTGGCGGGACTCACTCATAAGGTCTTTAAACATGGTCTTCTCATGAGTCAGTAGATGGTCAATGATGGATCTCCAACTACAGAGAAAAAAGAAGTCAAACAGAGAGAAAGACATGTTTAATTTTGTGTAAAAGTATCACGTCACATGCAAAATATCCATAAAGACTGTGAGATAAATGTTCTTATGGTTTGCATTTGTTCAGCTATAACCTTCTTATTTAGGATATCATGTAAAATAACTTTCATCCTCTACAGCCAGGGTTGTGAACTTGTTCATCTTTTAGTTTTGTATCCATGTACTGAGATACAAACAAAGAGGAGTATGAAAAAGCATTTAAGATCATTCGTAAAAACTGCAAGATTAACTTTCTGAATGCAGGAAGAAACAACAAACTTCTTCCTAATTATGAAATTAACAGCAAAAAAATTCAGAGGTCTAATTATCCTGGATATAATGTGCTGCTGCATATTTGAGATTAAACTGAAGCTTTTGGAGAAACTCAGTCTGGTTAAAGACGTGTGAAGTGACACACAAAGAGGAGGAAGAAGTTCACAGACCTCTCTCAATGTGAGTCAATCATTAAGTTTGTTTGGCAAATTAACCTGCTTTATCATCTTTGAATCCTCCAATCAGCTGAAGTACAGGCTCTGTTTTATGATGCCATCCTTCACCTCTCACTGTCATAAATACAAATCCAACCTTCTTATGATCATGGAGAATTACAAGTTCTGTAAGTTAAGAAGAGTTTCTCTGTGTCTGTTAGATCCAAAGAACAAACCTGTATTTCACGATCATGGAGAAGCTGCGAATACTCAAATATAAATCGAGTGTAATTCAGACAAACAAAAACTAACCTGGGGGCACAGGAAGGATCCATGGTGAAGAAGAGGGGGTCCATGAAAAGCTCAAACACCTCTTTCTTCCAGGCTCTTTTGGTGTAAGCGTATCCACTCAAGCTGCTCAGCAGCTGAGCACCAGCCTCAAAGCTCGGCATGTTGTAGGCACTGCAGGAAAATGGCACAAATTAGGGGAAGTTAAAGAGAGACCTAAGCTGTGCGGCAGATTTAAGATGGCCTTGAATCAGCAGTTACCTGTGGTTTTTCAGGTAGGGGAAAACATAGTACATGAGCCGAGAGATGAGAGGAACAGCTTTCTCCTTCTCGTCACTGCGGTAAACCATGTCGAGAAGTTGTGCCAAGACCTATGCAATGTGATAATGTGTTAAAATATATGATCATCCACTTATTTTTATCACTTGTTGATAAAAAGTGAAAAAAAAAACCCTTACCTCAGCCAGGAGGACAAGAGCTTGAACGCTGTACACTGAGGGAGCTGAAGAAGAAACCATGGTGCCGGCTTGAGCCATTGACTCTGACAAGACGACATGAAAAGAAAGGAGAGTGAGTTTATTTGAGGCGTAACCATTTTTCAAATTATTGCCTGTGGGTGCTTTCACAGATTGCAGGAAACTAGGATAAAAGTCTTTAACTTGAACTAATTCAAACTAGAGTATTTGAATACTTAGACGCTATGTTGAGAAATGACAGAACAAAGAGAGGTAGAAAGGATAAGCTAGAGGTCCGGTCTCTTACTCATAGCTAACAAAAGCAGACGCTGTCAATCCACATAGTCAATTTTCTCAACCCATAGTGAGTAGATTAAGACACATGCTTTTGTTAAAGTTATCATCGTAGTCACCTTCTATGTCTGCGTCGTCTCCTTCATCTGTTTCTGTGCACACTTGTGGTTGAACTTTGACCTCCAGGCTTCGGCTGAGCCAACTGGTCTGCTCCAGAGACGACCCCACAACGCCGCCAACTGCTTCAAGGATTCGCTGCGTCACCTCCTGTATGATATCATCAACAATATTACCATCATATTCCGGCTACAGCAGCCGGCTTAATTTGATCCAGAGCAACAACGTGCACGCTGTACCTGCAGCTCTCTGCTGTCCTTTTTATTGTCCAGGTTGGGAAGTCTGTTGACAAGGTCATTGAGGATACTGAGGAAAGAGGAAAAGGCAAATCCTTAGATATTAATTATTAAATAAAATAAACTCAAAAAGCACTAACAAGTCCATGTCTGAATGACTGCATGGTTGTCAACGAGGAGGAGTAGTAATACATACAGAATACAAAGCAAGCACTTCTGTGCTGAATACAGACCCCAGCAGTAAGAAGTGACCAGGTGGAGCCAGGTTGAGCTGAACAGACTCTCGTAAGAGACTGAGGAGAGGAGCAATGTTTTCCTGCAGAGCCTGAACTGAAATGCTGCAAAGAAGAAAAAATAGAGTTAGAAAATGGGAGCAGGTGTGGAGCGTTTTTGTTAAACCTGGAGGGGCTTGGGAGAAGGGGGTCTTGTCCATCCTGCATACCTTTGGATATAGGCAAAGCTGAACTGCAACATGGGGATATCTACCAAGCTTGACTTCTGATGAGGAAAGATAAGAAAAAAGCAACAGGAGTTAAAAAAAATGACTTCACAAACTTCCAGCAGACAACTTCCAAGCGCATGTCTCTGTACCTGTTCTCCTTTGATCTGATGAGGTTTTTTCACCACTTCCTTGACCAGTTGTAGGATGGTGTCTGTGTGCAGTGTATGCAGCGATTTCACCAAATCAACTATAGTGAGATGCAACTCACTGGCCACAGGTAAGACCTGAAAAGACAGGAGTGATATGAGAGCTCTGAGGGCTGTTGTGCAAGTCATTAACTCCTTTATGTTTTCACACAGTGCAGCTCTTACTTTATTTTTATGTCTTCTTTTAATCTTCCTCCTGCTCCACACGACTCCCAGTGACGCCATCAGCTGAACCCCGTACTGAAGAGTAAGAGGAACCAGGAACTCCAGAATCCGCTGCCTTAGAATCTAAATATGAACATAAAACACATCAAATATAAATAATACAGATCTGTCCTCAATAAAATTTGTCATCATGTGACAAGCGTACACTTTCATGTATCACACACCTTGGTGCTTTTAAAGTAGACAGAGGTAGAAGAGTGTCTGCTACTCTGAGCAGAGTCAGGAGCACGCCTCTGAAGCTCCTCCCTCATGACCACACCCCACAACAGCGCCATGCTGTTGAGCATGTGCGGCAGTTCTTCGATCACAGCGTTGCGAGCATTTCGGACATCGACAGGATCGCAGGCGACCAAGGACTGACGGAGACAAAGAAGGAGGGTTATAAACACTCACATAATCATAATCACATGATGTGCATATCTGTGTATTTATCACTCACCCTTTTGTTATCGAGGAGACAATGGTGTGTGATTGAGGTGAGGCCCTCCAGCAGAGTCAGAGGATAGTCAGGGGCGATGTTTTCCCGCCTACCACTCAAGCTGCTCACGAGACAGAAACAAATGTTAAACATCTCCTTCAGAGCACAGACATGTCTGCATGTTTGTTTTTGAATAAAATAACATTTGCTTTAAGTCTCTAACAGTAAAATATACATGTATATATGACAAACCAAATTCTGACATTCAAAGGACTATAATCTAGGACTACTGGACAAGGTAACTATACAGATAAAAAATCCTCAAGCATTAAATCAAGAAATACATGATCCTTTATATCTCATTTCTTACTGTTATTTCTTTAGTTGATATTCATGTTTGTACTAGTTTGAGTCATGCTGAAACAGATTTCATGTTTTACCAAAAAGGACAAACTGAAATTTTTAAATTGTCAAAACAAAAAGAAAAAAAAAAGAAAAAACTGTTTGTGCTCAGTGTACCTCTGGTTTGTCTTTCCTCCATCATGCTCATAAAGCTTAACCAGCTCGTCCAAGTTCCTGCAGATCTGGCTGATGAGAGGAGCCACGATGATGCCCAACGAGCGGCCCAAGTATGGCAGAGAGGAGACCAGCAGTGACACCCAGTGGGGGTGCATGGCATAGCCGTACTGCGGCTGCAGAGCCCTGGCAGCAGCAGAGACAAACATCCCTTGTGCGGTGATGGGGTGGCTCTGAACGTACTGAGCTGCCTTGATGGATTGCTGAAAAAGGACAGCGGTTTGCCACTCACGGGCGAGTGGGGTGTTCGCAGTCTGGATTTCACGGGGATCCCCTGAGTGGCCAGCAGCTCCACCCGACCCTGCTGCTGAGACGGCCCCACCTGGCCAAACATGGTACTCCAGGACTATGAGAGCCTGAAGTAGTTTAAGTAACTCCATTTGTAAGGTGTACTGTTCCTGTCCTCCTCCTGCTCCCAGATTTACAAGACTCTCCTCTGATGGAGCCCCTTGTTCATCCAGCACCTCCGCACACTTGGCTGCCCCCTTGTCTGTTCCCTTTTGGCTGATATACATCGATGCAGAAAGAGAAAGCAAAGCATACTGCTGCACTTTACATCCTGAGAGGAGTCTGCGAACGGGCTCCAGACTTGTCCCACTGCCCTGCTGTCCCCGTGCCATGCAGCAGAGCTGGTTCACTATGCGGGTCAGCACCTCCACACTCTTCACCTGCGCCTCCCTGTTCCCCTGCAAGTCAAGGGGGCTCAGACTCAGATAAGAGGGGTAATGAGAACGCAGTAATCGCAGACACAAGGACACCAGCAGTTCAATGAGCAAGGAAGGGGGTGGAGTTGGAGAGGAAGACGGGGAGAGAAGACCGCCGTAGAAGCCTTTACCATCCTGAGCCTGCTGGTGGCGCTGCAAGAGGTTAGAGACGAGGTTTAAATGAGCAGCAGAGCTTGTGTCCAGAGAGGTGGACGAGAGAGCATCCACCAGGGGGCACTCGGCGCTGCTCCTCAGAAGGCTGTCCAGCAGTGCCAGGCCTTGGAGGAGGTGGCGCCAGCCGCCCGTTGCAGGATACAGGAGCACATGGCGAAACAGAGAGTCGATGGCCTCTCTCTTTTCTCGCTCTTGTTTCAGCAGGCGAGACTTGGCGATGGCCTCCAGCTCTAAATCCTCCTCATCCTCGCTCGACAGTGAATCAGAGGCCTGTGTGCGCTCGGACTCCGCCCTCCGCAGGCCGTTGACCACGCCTCCATCCTCAGTGATACGGTAGGGTGCAGAGCCTGAGCTGGAGTTTTCAGTGGATACTTGGGCGCCGCTGGTGTCCGCCGACTCAGTGTGTTCACTCTCAGCTTCCTCTTCCTCCTCCCCCTGTTTATCCTCCTCCTCTGTCTCTTCACTCTCGCTCCTAGAAACAGCTAAGGTGTCCGGTAGTTGGACGGACTCAGCACCACTGTCTAACTCTGTCCACAGCGCCTCTCGGTCCACGATGTTCATCAGATTTAAGGTGGTAACCTCTGTTGCCATGGCATCTGCATACGGCCCTGAGCTTTTAGTGGAGCTTCGACTCCTGTTGCCTGAAACCTTCAAGTTACCTTGAAAAAAAACACACAAAAACTTTTAACATGACACCAAATTCACTGACACAACATAAACACACACATGCCGACAAATGCACTAACCGACAGTGAGGCTCTGTTTGACGCTCTGAATGGAGCAGCGCTGAGTGGACGGGTGAAGCAGCAACAGCAGGATCGGTTCAAGGATTCGGATCACGTCACTGAAGGAAAGAGCTCTGACCAGCCAGCACTGAGCTGCTGCGCTGATCGAACCGTCGGTACAGCTCAGACTGTCAACCACCACACACAGAGACCTGAGGAGGGGGGGCAAACATTTCAACAAGAAGATTCAGAGAAGACTTAAACACGGTCATCAGAAGTTCAGCAGTCGTACTCCAAGTTTTTTTTTTTTTTTAAATGAACAGTTATCCTGACATTTTTTTTGTTTCATGGAAGTCTACGATGGTTTGTTAACAGAATATGCTCATCAGCATTGCTCAACAGCCTTTAATGTAAATTGTGTAAAAAAGATAATATTTAGCAACATCTAAATGTCAGATCCTAGATGATGTAACGCTCCCTTGCTCAACCCTGCCTTCTGTGAGGCGATGGTTTCTTTAAATGATAAGAATCTCCTGTGAAGCCTGATAAGTCTTATCCTTCATCTGTTAAGTTTTCACCATCAAAAACTTCCATCACAGCGAATGTGGTGCCGTGTTACTGACCGAGTTAACCAAAGAGAAGATCATGCACTTAAGTCACCATACTTATAAAAAGAGGAGGGTTAAATCATGGATTTTAATATTGATTTTCACTTCTCATTTAACGGTTTTTGCATTTTTTTAAGTCTGTCATTAAATTTATATCGACATGACATCCAGACATTTATTTTCTCAGAGGGGATTTCAGTCCACTTTCATGTTTGCTGTGACACATGTTTTGCTTTTCTGTCTGAGATGACTCCACACTCCCAACTTTTCTGTGTCAGTTCCACTTTGCACTTGTGTAGCAGGTTAACCCACTAACAGAGAGAGGCTGACAAATACTCTATGTTAGGGATGTATCTATAAAAGCATAACATTATTCAGAAGTTACACTGGAACAAAAGGATGTAAAACAATACAGATACATCTAAATCCATCCTTTTCTTTACTCATAGACTAACCTGTCAAAAGAGCGGTTCATAGACATGGCCCTGCTGGTCTGGATCTCTCGGGTCAAGTGCCACAGTACAGTAAAACGGTGTAGTGCCTCCAACCTGACAGACTGGGGAGACAAGCATAAAGAGGCGTTTGGAAAAATGCATAGAGACCATAAATGCTTAAACACAGTATCGTTCATGAGTACTGAATTTCCCTTCATGGATCAATAAAGTTCTTCTTCTTCTATTCACCTTTTCTTTGTGCAGCAGGGCCTGGCAGATGATGTCCTCACAGATGGATGCTGACGGAGCCAAACAGTGAAGCCTGTAGAAGAGCTCCACACAGGAAATGTGCTGCTCTCTCCGCTCAGTGTCCAGCTGGCTCCACAGTACCTGGGACACCCTCTAATTTATGTGGGAGAGAGCATACTCTTAAAAAAAATCAAAGATTTACAAAGCAACTCTAAGAAAAGAGAACATTTTCAGTTCATAATCCAACCTGAAAGAAATCTGTGTCCTCCTCTATGGCATGAAGAAGCGCAGGGTAGACTGGCGGGACGGTGACCATCTGCAGACGCCCACTCAGAGGGTTGGAGTCTGATGTCTGGTAGCGTCTGTGTTTGTCCTCGATGACCAAAGCTAAGGACTGGGAGTGGTTGATGAGCTCTAACAGGGAGGCCACTGCATTGTGCTGGATGTTATAGTCCCTGGACAGGCAGCACAGAGTCATCAAGGACCTCAACCACACAGGAAGGCTTTCCACTTCACTCTCTGTGAAAAACAAAAATGATTGATAAGAGTGGAGAGGACATTACATTAGTTTAACATGATTGGATTAGTTAACCTGTCACAAGAAGTACATCTCATACCCGAATCAGTTACATAAAGAACTCTGTGACCGCTGTCTTCGGCTTAATTGGGAGCAGATGATTTAAAACAAAGGAGTATTCCAAATAGTTGTTAATAATAAGTTCATAATTCTCACAATTTAATATTGTTTTGATGAGGATTCATTTTTTCCTGGTATCACAAAGTCTACTCAAACACAAAAAGTATCACAAAATGAACTCAAACAGACAGTCAAATGTAAAAACCAATCCAGTCTTCAGCATCAATAACATTATCAGTACTGTGATGGTACCATAGTTTGATGTTTCCCCTCTGCATTGATCATTTTAAAGTTAGGCTGTCCCGATACGAATTTTTTACCTCAGATATGATACAGATATTGTAGCCTACTGTTTTGATACTGGAACAAACTTCTGTGCTAATGAAAAATACTGCCACAGGGCTGACATCACTCTTACTCCTTGGAACTTTGTTAGTACGTTAGTACACACACTGTTGTTGTGATCATGTTCATGTGATCAGGCTCTGCGTTATGGATCCGAGTGCTGCTAGATAGAGGTGCTGGTGTGGAGCCTGGAATGGACAGCTTGTGTCGGACTGCTGATATCTGAGATTTAAGATGCAGGCCGATAATCCGATATTAGTTTTTTTGTTGATATTGGACCGATATCTGATATCAATATCATAGCGGGACACCCCTATTTCAAAGGATTTATAATTGGATCAATGAATCAAATCATATTTGTGGGTCACTGGTAAAAGTGTTCCTGTATAAACACAGCTGGTCTTTTTTCTGTGTGCTGACCTGCATTCCCAAACATGTCTGTGTGGAGGGCCAGAGTCTCCTCTTCACTCAGGTAGACTGGGAAGGTGGTGCACTCCAGAAGCAGGTGGCAGGTGGCGGTAAAAGCTTGTCTGCAGGCCTCTGAGATCTCTGCCCGACCTCGAGGCATGTAGCCAGCTGCCCAGTCCAGACTCGCGCGCTCCCTCTTCCTCTCCGTGGAGGATTCTGGGAGCTGGGAGTCAAACGTAGGCCGAGGTTTCAGTTTGGTTGGGGAGAAGAGTTCGGTTAGTTTGTCTTTTATTTCCCGTCCCCCTGGAAGGAGGGTTTTCTGATCTGCAGTGGCAGCAGTTGTGTCAGGTTGAGGTCCTTCTTCAGGTCTGCTGACATCCTCCACCTGCACTAGTAAATACCTGAAACACAGAGGGATGAAACAATTAAACAATCACAACAAGACAAAGAGCTCAGTATGCTTCTTAAGGAATAGATAACTTTACCTTGTGGTTATGAAGGCCAGGATTTCCTGGAGACACTGGGTCATGGTGTCAACACTGCCTCCCCTTCTCCAGACTCTTTCCCCTTCTTTGCAAATTCCATTTTCTTCTGCTGCCAGACCCACTCCAGGAGGGAGATGCTGCTCTGAGGGCGAGGCGCTGATTCCTAATCCGCTGTCTTCAGACCTCAGTGTCGGGTAAACACCATTTGCAGCAGCAGCAGCACCACCAGCCTCATCTCCACCATGCCTGTTTGGCTCTTCTTCATGATGACCATTAACCTGACCAGCACCCGCATCTTTCTGTACCTCATTTTCAAAATCCTAAAGAGAACAAAATGTGACGAGTCAGTGTCACGCATCATGTAATACCATAGTGGTCTGACAGTAAGATGACCCTGACATAAAAAAAAATAATAATAATAACCTGCAGAGTATCAAATAGATGACAGGTCTGCAGATGTAATCCGCTTTGATCTGTTCATCAGTCGCACAGCTGCTCACACGCACGTGTTGTAAGATTATCTTTTTGTGCCTCTTACCTTTACAACAAGGCAATGAGGTGACACCATATTTGGCTGTTTGATATCTGTGCTATTTTTATTACCATCCCCCTGAAAATGGCATCATAACTCTGCTTGAGTTGTGAAATAACCTGTGCTACTTTTGTGCTAATTTGCTCTGGTCTCCATGTCTCTTCATTTTTCAGCCCCCTGACTTTGGAGCGGTGGACGACAACTGTCTTCAGTCATAAGAGAAGCGATGCAGTCAAAGAATATTGTCATTTATTGCTGAACCCTGAATATATGATGATCACACTATTTTTAGGTGTATTTTGCTGACAAAAAAACTCCATCCCATTCAGGCAACTACAATCAAAAGACTACAAAGGCCAAAGGTCATACTTCTGTGTTTTGGCTTTCCTCGTCAGGTAGCTGTAAATCCATGTCCTCTGCTTGTGTTCCAGCTTCGAGGTCCATATAAGCCACAGGCATCTGGATCTTACTCAGGACCTTGAAGCACGCTCGCAGGCCCTGTGTTACGTCTTCTAATGGAATAGAGGCGATGTGGTTGGATAGAGTCCGCAGCATGGTGCCCAGCATCTCCGGTAGGAACTGGGACTGGATGTCTGCATGGAGCTCCTGTGTGATAAAAGGAACATTTAAAAAAAAAAACTGTTGCGATAAATGAGTCAAGTGTGGGTCGGCTAGCACTAAATATTGGGATTATTTGTTGAACCATGCAGTAAGTGAGTGCTTGAGGGATGCAAAGCAGATTGAATAAAGGCAGAGCGGTATTCTTTATTTCTTAACATCCTTTTCTTTCATTGAGTTTCAAGTATTTTTTGGATTTTGTCAAAATCTTAAACCGCAACTTATTTTTCAGAGGCAAAATTAACTTTTGAAATGATCATGTTTGGGTAACAACAAGGTGTGTGAGTGTCGTTTACCAGAGGAAGAACATCGAGCAGGAAAATGATGAGATTGGCCATCTCTGTGACAGACGGGGCCGGGTGACTGCGGTCCTGCTGAGGAGGTGTTGGTGGGTCATCTTTGCTACTATAGTGTTAAGAAAGAAAAGAAAACATTCCTATTAGTTGATATCCGAGAGTAAATGAGGACAGTTTGACACATCTCCAAATATGATAAGGTTATGGGTAAGAATCCAGAGTTGCCATACCTGAGAGCAGTGCAGAAGCGTCGGGTCATGTACTCCCACAGGTATTCACTGTTCATGGAGCTCACCAGCATATTCATCGTCTTTATGACCTCTGATGCGTTTTTATTCTCTTTTATCTTACTGTGAGAGAAAACACAAGAATATTAATAACATTTTTGCTCTATTCTACCTGCATCTTTTTCTGTTATTGTTGTATCGCTATTCTTTTTTCTCACTTGGCTAACTGGTTGCCTGAGAGCCCTGAGCTGGTGATGTTTTCCTCCCCAAGCATCTCTCGACAGTAAGTGTAAAAGGCTCGGACGACCTCCAGCAACACACTGCTCAAGACCACTGGACCTGTACAGAAATAATGTGACTGCTGCAACAAAGCTCACTTTCATGAAAATGCGTTTTTAACAAAGGCTGTCGGAGTGTTTTCTCTTTTTGTTTTTTTACCGATGTCTGGTTTATCCAGCAGACTCATGATGATGCGAAAGGGCCTGAGGCATCCTGTCACATTTTCTCGGTCAGGCTTCTGTTTGAGGATGCTAATCAGAGCCTGAGGTTGTAGAAACAATTTATGAAAATTAGAAGACAATAGTGACAAACACACATCGTTTAAACAGAAACACCTGACTTAAATGTGTCATGTTTCCACTCGTTGACTGAAAAACCCTGAAATACAAACTTCCTTGAACTTAAATATTGACAGAAACAGTTTCGGGACATTGTGAGAAACTGGCTTTTGTTTTTACCACAATGAAACACGAGTTAATTGGAGAACTGTTTCTTTCTCAGCTTCTTCTGTTCACTTTGAACCTCAGAGATCAAGTTTCTGTTCTCCTCCAGTAAATATGACGAAATAACCTCAACTTTAGTGTTCACAGTTTGGCTCTTAGAGACAGAATCTGAACTTCAGGAGATAGACTGTGGATTAACTTTGTAGCGTAGGAATGGTCCTCTCTCTTGTCCTACCTCTCTCTGGCCTTTATGCAACCGGAGAAAGGTGTCTATCTTTTTGTTTAACCACGTTTAAGAATGTGAGTTTATGTTTTAAGTTTGAAAAATCTTAACAATGTCAAAGCATGTAATGCAAAAGCAATTCTTGTCTGTGAGTTCATATATGAGTTACAAGAAATCTAAGTTTGACGGCAAAAGTGAGTGTTTTCTGGGCTAAGTCGATAAATCAGTTTATTTAAATAGTAAAAACATTTATCTTTCTGGGGAGTGTCTGTTTGCAAACACTATTAGTCACCTGTATGAGGAAATCTCTGGAGTAGGTGTTGAAGTAATAAGTTGTGTGATCCTCCGCAGTCATAGAGAAGTTGGGGTGTGGTGTTCCTCCTTTTATGTCTGTCCCTGAAGACACACATTACACAGAAGCAAAGAAAACTGAGATAAATACGTAACCGAGTCGGTAACTAGTCCCTGTGCTGTGTTTTAACGAGCTGTACCTTGGAGCCAGGCGTAGAGGCGCCTGTTGAGGGACATGTCTCTGCGGAGAAATGTGAGAGAGGCAGCGGACACTATCGCGACCACGTCTTCGGGACTCACAGCCATGCTGGCCTCTGTGGGTTCCTGAAATACAGAGTTGAAGGGTTGATTCAGGAGTAACAGGAGAGCTCAGTGACAGGACAGTACACATGCTTACTAAAAAAATGAAGTGAATAGCTCGCCTTGATATTAGGAGTTAAAACAGAATATGTTTAATGACTGAGAGCAGTAGTCAAAGTCATAACACTGAGTGTATTAAAGCTGTTTATGTATTTTTATCCTCAATAAGGTTAATTCAATGATGGGGTCTGAGGGCGTTTAAATCTCAAACAGGCAATGAGCAGTTTTAGGTTCTTACCAGACATGTAGCCAATGGGAAAAAGTAGAGCACGATTTCAAGCATGTTCCTTTGCACCAAGAGATTTGAGTCTTGCAAAGAAAGGCACACTGACTTCACCTGAAGAGAGGCAGAAGACGAGAAACCCACGACATTCAGGAGAGGTAAGAACAGACTACAGAACAATCTTTAGACAAGGACCCTTTTAAATACTGTCTCTTAAGAGTTAATTCATGTGGTATCCAGTGTGAGACTCACCACTAGCCTGTGGTCATAGCCTAGCATGTGTGTTTGCTGGTGTAGGGATGCCATCCGGTCAAAATGTGCAACTACGAAGGCTGTGGCGGGCAGGCGCACCATGGGGCTGACCAGCATGCTGCCCCACAGGGCGCCGTAGAAGACCTGCTGACCCACCAGCAGTGACAACTTGACCATCAACGCATCGGTCCTGGACAGAGAGGAAAAACCAGAGAAATCAGCGCCACGTGTTCCCCATATAAGCAAGTTATAATCCATATCTCTGAGTCGGTGGCTGGCCTTGTTATTAGAAATGTCACACGGATCCATTTTAATGTTAATCACTCATTATGTTATACAAGAGAACAAGATAAACACAAACTCACACATGATAATCCCTGAAAAGCACCTAAACCAAGATTTTCCAGAGTAATCCTGCTCTCTTATCTGTCTAATACTTAAATTCATGTTCAGCTCCGTCTCCTATAAACTGAAAGACTTCAGATATTTGTAAAAGGTTGAGCATTGACAGATAATTTGAATATCAATCCTAAACCTCCTGTCTACAAACAAAATAAACAAGGTCAACTGAAGCGCCATCATAAGCATATCGAAGTCTAACACTTTGATAACAGTTTGACATTACTTCTTTCTCTCCTCTGAAAACTGCTGTATAGTATGTGCTTTGTACCTGTCGTAAACTTCCAGTCCTTCCTCAAGGCCTGGCAATAGTCCTGTAATGAAGGCCTGAAGACTTGGCAGTAAAGCCCTCTGCAGAGGCAGGTAGTAACGCTCGTATAGTGTCAGCAGAACAGGCTTCACTGCCATAGCTGCATGGCCCAACAGCGGGAACAAACCGGAGCTGAAACGCATTGACAAACACATCTTAAAATGCTGCTCACACAGGAAAAATGTCAGTCTTGGAAAAAAAACAAGATTAGGTTTGTTTTTTTCACCTGTAGATGAACAAATCCTTGGCCAGCCATTTTGTCCCGATGATTTTGAAGATGACTTCGTAGGTCTCCAGCGCTTTGAGGTGAACTCCGCTTGGTAGAGCCGGGTGCAGACACTGGGCGAGACGCTTTCCTATGATCAGCCTCTTAGGCAGGAGGGAGTATCGAAGATTACTCTGCAGGGCCTAAAAGAAACAGTGGGAAATGGAGTTGTTAGTGACAATTAGGCGAAGCAATAAAATTAAATGACTGATTTCACAGAGACTTCAAAAAGCAAATGGCTGTCGTGCGAGTTAAAAGGAAGGAGGCCCTGAATAAACCATATGACCTCCACGATTAGGTTGTTTGACAAACCAAGTTCACCTTAGTAAGACACTTGGACTTCCCCTTATAGCAATGAGAAGTGAAAAATGTGGTTGTGAAACTGACATCTGCAAAATTTAGATACCGAAAGAGATCAGATGAAATAACAGACCACGTAATCAACCTCTGTCATTTACTGATACTGTTTGCATTAGCAGCACAATTAGATGAAGACTGATGAGTTGTTAGTGTATTTATTTATGTAGCAGTGAGTCAACTGTGTATCAGACTGTACCTTGTTAAGTTTCCCCAGAGAGGAGATAAGATCTGCCCACTCACTCGAGGACTCAAAGTTTCGCAGCGCTTTCTCAATGACCGCCGCATAGTTACGGTAGCGATAGTCATTCTGCAGCTCTAGCTCCTCAGGATCCATGATGCATCAGTCCAATCCAAGCATTTGAGAGAAGTATTTCTGGAAGAGAGGAAAAAAAAAAACAATGATTCGGTTGAGAGAGAAAGTTTATCCAACTCACACAACCATTAAATACTCAAGTATAAAATCAGCCTGTCTGCAACCTGTTAGAAATACATCTGCCTCTGAGGCTCATAATAAAATCAGCCCATTAGCTGCTCACTGATAAACAGAAGCAGAGGCTGTGGAGACAAATGCCCTCATTCATGACTTCTCCATGTTTGTCTCATCGACCTGTATTTCAGTCTGAAGAGGGAGGAGTTCTTCTAATGCAGACTGAGTGGCCCTGCATGCACTTTGAGAGCAAAACAAGTTCTGGCCCGGGCACAAAAACAGAGGGTGAAAGTCTGCTCAGCTTTGTCTTTCCGCTTCAAGTAGCATTTTTAGATTTTCAGACTCGTGAGGGGAAATTTATTGGAAATGAAACAAACAACAATCTTTTCACACTTCACTGACACGAAGGAACATTAGCATCATTTGAGAGAAGTGTTTTTCTCTCATTTCAACTTTGTTTGGGTCCTTAAAACTCCTGAAGGAAATCCTCCTTTAAAGCAACTTATTACTCCAAATGCAATCCGACTGCTTGGTGTTGGTAGAGTAAAGCTTTTTCTCATGAAACAGTGACCAGCTGTAATTAGAAACAAGTGTAAGAGAGAGGGAGTTTAGTTTTAGACCACGATGCAAATGAGTCAAAAGATGCTCAGTAGCTCTGAGGTAAAATATAGAGCCAGGCGATGATTCTCCTAAGAGTCAGGCTGTCACTTTCACATATTAAGTGGTCATGTTTGTACCAGCTTCAATGAGTACAGCTTTAAAACAGTCTAGAGGAGGTGCTGGTAAAGGACAAGAAATTCTACTGAGCTGAACAGGAAAGTAAAACACAACAAACCAAGATAGAAAGGGTCCCGAACAATAGAAATACTGCAGAAAGAGAGGCTTTACTGCTTTAATGCACATGGCATATACAGTGGTGTGAAAGTGTGTGTACGTGGGTATGTGTGTGTCTTAATGTAGTGTATTTAAATCAAGCTGAATAGAGAGATGGGTGGGGGAGTGGAAAGAAGGATTAGAGGAGCAGAGACATCTGGGCTGAGTGTGCCTGAGCTGAGAGGGCTTTAACATCATGGACAGACCAAACAACACGTGCCTGGACCGTGACTCTGTATTATTGACCAAACCATAAAACCGCTGACCAAAAATCCTGTACAATTACTCATTTATAAAACACATATAAACCGCTTTTTAAAAGGTTTATCCCCTTTTTGTCATATTTTCAATCAAATTCTGTTGTTCCTTGTTGCTCACTGTAGAATATAAAGACACAATAACATAGACCAAGTGTCCCAGAATTTATGGTATGTATTTGACTTGCTAAATAAGTAACAAATGTCTATAAAGTGATGAAACTGTAGTCAACAGTGGAAAATAATAACTGCTGACAGCAGCGTCAACATCTGCCTGTACCAAACTCTGAGGTGGGTTTGTACGACGAAGGTGAAAAACAGGAAAGAAACTGGAGAAGAGTTGAGATTAAATCCTTAGAAACAAACACAAACTCAGCCTCCTGTGAACTTTTACAGTTCAGTACGACAGAAAACCAACACACAACCTAACCTGAAGCTTTGTCGTAAGGATATTCTGAAATTTTAGGACTAAGTTATAGATAGATTTTGATATATTGCAAGTTTCTTTTTCCACGGTGAAGAGGAAAATTTGCGGCATGTTTTTTTCAAGTTGTAAAATGAAAATTTAAGATAGAATTTGAACACATCTAACATACTAAACTGTACTGGAAGTCAGGTGAATTAAAAAAACAGGGAAGCCCTAATATATTCCAAAAAAACAACTTGTGACAATATCTTTACATTGAGGTGCTTTATATGACCACAACAAAAATGTATTTGTTGACAAGTCTTCATTCTTACATTAGGAACATCAAAAATACGCCAATAGATATCATTTTATGATCATATAGTCCTTCAGGATTTCTCAAATGTTATTTCCTGTTCCTTGTTACACCTGTTTGCTTGTATGATAGGTCTCTCTGCCTTACTTACATTTGTTTTTCTAAGGCCCTGACAGTCACATAACAGTCTAAACAAAACAATCATCTTCTATTCCGTGCAAACCAAGTTAAGCAACATTAGACACCTTTTCATTTTTTTTATTCCATGATTAAAGAAGAAGGTTTAACTGATTATTTAGTTCTTTGGAAATTGAACTGGTGAGCATGAAGCTGACTCTATACATCCATAAAAGTCACATGTGACAGCTATAATTGTAAAATCCAGGCTACACCATTATCTTTATCAGTTTTTAAGACTTGATTTTAAAGGTAGATCACTATACAAAGAGTGCAACACAGAGTAACACAACTCAGCAATCTAAACTCAGATTATGAGCCTTTTCACACTGATGCTGCTCAAACGTTTAACCTTGGATGGACTGCAACAGCACACTCACCTTTCAGGCAAATGAGGAACCAAAAAACCCAGCTTAATCGCAGGTGACAGCTTGATAATCAAATTGTTCAGGCAGAGTAACAACGGCATGTGCAGTCTCACTTCCTCATTACATTCATCAGCAAACAGCCAGTGTAATAAAACCATGCATATCTGCAGGCAGATGAGTGTGCATTGAGGGTGGACACACACATACGCACGCAGTATAGCAGACAACAACCCCGCTCTGGACTCTTTGTCACCTGACTGACACCACCAACACCACCAGCACCAGCACATGTTTCGATGTGACTGTGTTGAAGTGGGAGGATGGAGGATGAGAGGACAGTGTGTACTCCAAAAAATGAGGCCAAATATCAGTCTGCTGCTGCTGCTTTTGGCCACTTTGAATAAACTGTATCATCACAAGAGCCTAATGCTGGGTGAGGCTATTATTATGTAACCGCACGACCACTGACTAAATGACTGTCATACCGCTGCTAAGACCAGGAAACAATTGATATTTTCACGTTGGTCAAATTTATATGAAAACAGCTAACATCCGCACATTTTTTGCCAATACTTATATTAAATGAGCAAAAACTGAACATAGCTTGCAAGCTAACCGTACAAATTAGACACTAGCGTAACCCTAAAGGGAATGGTTGTATTTTAAAACATTTAAGTAATTAATAAGGTGGTTAATATTCGACAGGTGTAAATACCATTGGAGCAGATAGTCGTGAACACAGTTAGCTAGCTATCAGGTGCATCAATGACTCACCGACTGCAAAACAAGCTCAGGGTGCGCGCGTGCCCACTTGTTTCAATACAACCCGTGTCAAAAATATAGAAATAACGTCCGTCCCATGGCCATGCTAAACCTTTCTTCACTCATAGAAAATTAACAGGGTTACTCGTTATTCCTCCAGAGGATGTGCGGACCACTGAAACATCCACGGAGTACCCGTGGAGACGGTCCTGACGGGGCGGGATCATCAAACTCAGCTGATTCCGAGCTCAACACAGATGGACGGTTCACTTCCTCAAAGTGGAGGGGTGGGGCGGGGAGATTTTGTACAGTAAATGACATGTTTGTTTTTCAAACCGTCGTCGACACACTAATAAAAGGGAATATATGTCCGAGATACTTGCTCAGAGCAAAACAAACCTGTTTCTCTCCGCTGAGCTTAACAATGTAAATGTCGACATTAAGTATAGACTCTCTGCCCTCCGGCGTTGGTATCGTCCAGGATGTGCTGTGTTTACAAACCTCTCACCTCACTGCCAGATATTTGACAGTATTGCAACCAGCAAGCTTTGCCAGCAATTTCAAACACAACCTTAACCACACTTTCGGTTTGGTTCAGCAAGTCAGAAGTCATGTTTACATTTTTTCCCTCTGTTTTGCTGAGACCTACTTCGGCGTGTGTGTATATCATAGCCGTAACACTAAATAGGCTACATACAAGTTTCAGACATTTTTTTTGTAACTTTTTCACTGCTAAACCTTTAACTTGTAATAGCATCAAAAGCACATGTAGTGATTGCATTGCTAGCACTGTCTATATTTGACTTAAATGTCTACACCAGTATCAAGATGCAGTTTGAAAATAATAATAATAATAATAATAATAATAATAATAATAATGATAAAATAAATAGAAATGGTTCCTTCAAGTGTTGCACTAGTAATATTGCAAAAAGTTCTGCACTGTTTATTACTAACCATAACAATGGCTACATCATTTTAAACAGCCAGTCAACTGGGTCTGTAAGGCTGAAAATAAGGATTTGAATAATTCATATTCACACAAATGGTTAAACTATGGGCTTGCATGTGTCACTGACACAGCTATCTTACCCACTCTCAGAGTCACTGATCTTTATTTGTTTTTAGGCTGTCAAAATAATCCCAAAGTTGAGATCCCAACAGCTTATTCTAATGTCAAATGTATTTCTTTCCCATTTTTCATTCTTGGCAATACCAATTTTCTGACAGCCCAAACTAACTTCTTTTGTTCTACTGGTATTTTCTCTGTTTTGTTTTAAAGGGGGACCGAGTTTGCTCTCTCTCCACCTTAAAAACTGAACTGAAACCCATGTGATGTGCACCTCACGACTGGCAGGAACACGTTTTAAGCTCTAGATGGTGCCACCATATCATGCAAATATTTTGAACATGTCTTTTCAACTCAAAGCTAACAAACCAATGACACAGGTATCTTGTAGACGCTGTCAATAAGATGATGCTTTCAAAGAAAACAGCAAGAATTTGTAAGTCAAGTAAAACGTATGACTAAAGTCTAGTTAGAATCTGTGGGTGTCACATATGGGGTTTATTCTCTACCTCTATCCCTCTGAGACACCTGACATATAGCATGTTATTGAATTTACAATAGTTATATAGAATGCTGCCAGTCATAAGGGCTGCCCACATACTTTAAATATTTTAAAGTATTTTCAAAGTTAGTGTGCATAAAACTGAAATTACACACTCACTGAAATTCTCATACTCTGCCAAGAAGCCATTCAAAACACCTCTCCCACCCAGCAGGTGGGCTGTCTTTATTTTTTTTCATTTGTGTCCTACTAGTGACAGTATACAACATTGAAAACTAGAAAAACATTGAACTTTCTCTGCTTTTTTCTGGCATTTTTCTTTTGTTCTTTCTGTAACTCCCCCCAAAATTGGGTATATTACTCTCACAGGAACCTTTAACTCTTGGTATGAGTGTTTCTAAAGTTGATATTATAGTATTTATCAGTTTGCATGTCATTGGAAGTGGCAAGTATTTAAATAACAGATCGTAAGAAGACAGGATCCTAAATTACGGTATGGGTAGCATTGCTATTATAGAATAATCTATTTATCTACAGCCAACAGCCTAAGCAGAAATTCCCTTTGTAACTTCATTATTTAAGAAAGAGTTGGAGACTTTCTTTTATTCTGGAGCTTTTCTTAATATTGTTTTTTTTACCACAAATTATTGCCAAACTCTCTGAGAAAAGGCCAGCTGGCACTAAATGACATTCTTTTTCTGTACAATTGGGTGGAAAAAATAAATAAATAAATGTGTAAGACATCTGGATAAATCAATTTAGAGTTATTCACCTCAAATGGAATTTTGGCAACAAGAAACTTAAAAAAATTAACAAAGGTTACTGAATTAACTAAATCTTTCACTTCCAGATTAAAGCCCCTAACATTCATAGTAATGTTGATTTCTCTGACAGATAGTAACCTGTAAAAACTAAAAGCAGATTGAGATTTTACAATGTTTTTGTTGCTTTGTGACAGACTGCAGGACTGTTGTGACTGCAAGCTCCAGTGTTTTCTTTTTATTCAATCTGTATTTACCTTCTTACTAGTAATTCTAACAGGACTGATTGTTCACTGCTGTTTTTGAAAATCCAAACAGATACAAACATGCTCATTAAATAAACAGTGTGAAGTCAGCTTGTTCAAAGATACCCTGGCTATGACTATCGTAACACAAAGAGGGGGCTATAGTCACATGTATACATCCACTTCTCAAGTGTGGCAGACACACGACTGTGTCTACTCAGGACAACCAGTGGCAAACAATGGCTTTCTTGTTTCTACTTGTTTGTTCATCAGTTTTTTTCTGATTGTTAAAAAGAAACCTTAAACACATCTTATCAAATTTTTAATAATATTTGATGGAAAGCTCCTCTTGCCAGGAAGTGAGAATTGTTCCCTCTGATGTCTCATATTTCTTGTGTGAAGTGTTTGAATAGATAACAAAGTAGGTTGACCTATATCAGATAAGACAGAAGATGCTGTACTGACATGAGACGTGTCCTGCAAAAATGTGTCTGTAAATGGTTTTGCATGATTTCTTGTATTTGATCTGTGTGTGTCCACATGTTTATATAAGGTTTTACTTGTAATAACCTTGAATTTTCAGTAAGAAAAACTGAGTTACATTGTATTTATTCTTTCATTGTTCTTTTTTACTATGTAGAGATGATAACTGAGAAGGTGACAAGTTTTGACCTTGAGAAATTCACAGAAAAAGCAGCTCAAAATGCTAACCAACACTGCCAGCCCCTGGATCCCTCTGACTGTTTGCTGGTAGCAGAGGAGAGAACTGCAGCTTTTGCACCTCCAATTATACAAACCTGAATAGCAGGGTGATTTGGAAACACAGAAGACTGCAAACATTAATGTTGACAAACACACACCAATATCTACAAGAAAGCCCACCTAACTTGATGAACAGCTAATATGTGAAGCTGAAGCACTCAAGTTCACATTTCACAAGTTTTCAAAGTCCTAATGGAATAAGCATTGTAAGGAAAATGACTTCTACTTGGAAATAGCCAAACTGTATTTAATATTTTTTCCACTGATTTTCACGTGTAGCACAATCCATGAATCAGTGTTGAAAACCTGCGAAACCTGATAAAGATTATTGATCCGTTATAAGTGACATATAGTCTTGAATAAAAGAAAATTGTCCATATGTACATGCAATTTAACTCTTCAAATACATGCAATACATAGTGCAGTTCCAAAACTTTGCTCTCACAGACCGGTTGTCGCTCAACAGCTACGTAACAGACGCGCGTTGCTTTTTGGGTAATGTAGTTTTCCTGAAATGGAATTTTCCGAAATGTCTATCCAGTGAGTGGAAATTTACTGTTTCCTTCCTTATGTAGTATGCAGCGCTTTGTCTGCAATAGGTGGTGTCTTGCCAGCGAACCGTATGAACCTTCATTTTTACCTGACATTCATAGTGAGAGGGTTGTTATTGTGAACGTGATAATGCCTATTACTGCAGTACCAACAGGATATTTTGGCGAGTTACGACAGGTTATTCCATCGCAAATATCAGAGAATATAAAGGAGTCTTAGTACCCATAAAATATTTATGCAGTAGTAACAGTAGCAGTAGCAGCTGTATTACAAACCTGAACAGAGGAACGTAATGCAGCCTAGTCTGAAGAGACGCACACATGTATGAAAGGCATTACATCCATCAACAACTTAGTGCAGCAGTGCTTTATTTTTCGCTAGTATTAATATATACAAGCGTTGCATAAAGTTTTTTTTTTTTTTTTTAAATGCTGCAAAATTCAGTGACTGCAGGATATAGCCTATAAATGTAGACAAATATTTGGAAAGTGATTGTCCACTGAAACACAAAAGGACTACATGCATAGTTCAATTAGTTTCAAAATATCTGTAAAGAGCCCACTTTGAATTTGAGAGGTTTCGGCACAATGTACATTTGTATTTTTGACAACAGTAAATATCCCATATTTCCACACATTACGGTTAATATTTTTGTTTTGGAGTAAACCCCAATAAATACCAATAACCCACTCATGAAAACTGTAACGTGTTGCAATCTGAGGCAATAACAGACAATAGTTTGTCTTATTCAAGATCACGTAAAAACATGAATATGTGTTCTTGAAGAAGCTGGAAGTGCAACTTTTTCTCTCCCGTGGGCATTCATTTTGGCATAAGGGCTGAAATTTCAATTATGGGGAATTTTAGAAAAATAATAGTGCTAAAAAAAGTCTGTTGATTAAAATGACAGTTTAAACTCCCACTGTTACCAAGGAGGCAGCAGTAGGCAGTTTCTAGATTGTTCCCTGATCACAAGCCTTACCCTTAAATCTGATTAGAAAGTTCCTATTACCAAGCAGTCAGATAAGGAGCTTCCAGTAGTTTCTATGATTTGCAACAGTTCATACACTACCATAACAAACTTATCTTTTTTACCTGAATACCCTAATACCTGTTTGTGGTTAAAAGCTGGAGAAAAACCTGTTAACAGTAGTAAAGTAGCCAGTCGTTAAAAATTAGGAAACTCCCCTTTGTTAAACAGTCACCCAAATATGCAAATACCTGTAAGAATGCAATCTTTATCCACATTAAAACTATAGCCTACTTTTTTCAAGCGCTGTCATTTCTTATTTGTTATTCGTTTTACACAATTTATGGATGGGTTTTACGCTATTTTAATTGATATCAGTTACTTTAAACAGGATGGTAAATTATTTGCAGTTATTTAGTCGAGCTGTGTTAGGTGGGTTTGTTAATTTCCATCTGCTTTCCCGTTTTTAGCGACAACTGCTCATAATACACCCAATATGATTCTCGAGGTCATGAAACAAATGGGCCAACTAATTAACTGGAGCAATTTCCAGTCGGTGTTTTTGCACCCAAACGCGTCACGGGTGTGTTACACGTGTGGGTGGGGCGAGAAGAGCGGGGCGCTTTGCATATAAAGAGTGAAGGCATCATCGGCAGACGGACATCTGGGCTGCTGTCAAACACCGATAAGACAACGGGTAACCAAAACAGACCTAACGTCAATTCAAGTCCTTGACAAGTATCGTGGTTGAGGAAGTCGTGAGCCTGAGCCGTGGACGAGTCTTCAAGAGGCGGTCACTTCTCTTTCATTCACGTCTCTCTTCTGGTGCGTTCAGGGTCGTTTCAGCATCTTTAGCGCTTCTGCTAACTCTAGCTCACCAGGTACTTCTACAGTGTCCATATATGTTTTACTGGGTAGCTATTAAGTCTGTGGATAAATGAATGTATTCATACTCCTGTTATTTTTTAATCTTAGTGAGTGTATGGTCACATGTTGGTGTTTAGCACTGTAAGTCGTGTTTCCGTTGTGCCCTTAAGTGCATTATTGACTGTTTAACTGTCACTGTTGAGACTGCAGGCCTATATTGTATTTTAAGACTCCAACATGACAGAAAGACTTAAACACCTGAGTAATATTAAAAGTCGGACTTAACTGATAAATATACAAAGAGGGGTCCCACAGTGCACCTATACGAGCTAGCACTGAGCAACAGCAGCTCCTTGAAGATGCGCAGTTTCTGTAGCCGGATGAATGAGTTTGTGTTCTCGAAATTTCCTTGCGCCCTAAAGGTGCTCGCCTGCGTGCGCTTCACGCCCGGTAGTGTGGACTGATGTCTCCTCTCTATTCAGACCCAGTCTCTGGCTGTCAGCCACATCTGGCCATTAAGTAAAGCATTGTCCTGTCATGTTTAGGTATGGAGTCAGTCGACCTTACCTGCAGCCCAGCCTGCAGCTATTATACTCATTTATAATGGAAAAGAAAGGTTAAGCAGATGAGGTTAACTCAAGAGATCTGTTCGTTTCTAACATCTGTTTTTTTCATTGTTTGTTTGTTGTACAAAATTAAGAAGTAGGCTTGCAGGCTCTTTGTTGCACTTGGTATTAAGTTGCATGGTCTTTGCTTCCCACAGTCTTAAGTTTATGTTCCTCCTGAGATTAAGTCATGTTTGGGCACGTTTGACTTGCAATTATTGTAGCTGTCACCAGCTCATCTTATTAATTTTCTCATAGCAGAGATTAAATTAACTATCAAACATTGATCCTGTCTTGTACAGATGAATTACATTGGTGAAAGCTAGTGCCCCTGTGGAACTGGTAGCACTGTGGTTTTTTTATTATTTGGCAGTGACTTGAGAGAAAGCTCTACAAGTAGGTCTTGACATACCAGGATGCAAGTGATTGTATTTTAATTTAAGTTTATGTAACTTTGAGGATAAATACTATTGAATGACATTGCAGTATTTCAGGACCACAGTCTCTTGGGTAGTTTATGATGAACACATGGTGAAGTCCTTGATGATGAGATGGTAAAATGAAAACAAAGACTTCTCTGATCGAGCTGGATACTTATGCATAAAGCCTATTTGTGGAGATGAATGCGTGGGGTGATTTTCTACAACTCATGGCAGGCTAAAACCCCAAGAGAGAAAAAGTGTGTGTCTGTGTGTCTGACAGACAGACACAAAAGAGATGTTACACAGGAATTCAGTTTTATTAGTTATATCACCTCTGTTTAGGAGGTACTATTGCCTTTTCAAAATCAGTGGTCTAATTTTGTATGAACCAATAAAAGTTCAATTAAATTGCTTTTAATTGTTGATCCAACTTGTAGAAAATGATAGCAGTACCTAAATACAATTGTTATAACAATCAATAATCTAGAAATGTTTCCCCTGTAGATTTGTAAATGAGAGTTAAATACTGAACTGAGTGCCCTTCATGTGAAGCATCTGTAAGTTTGTGGTCCAAATTAATTGTTTTTAAAAATCAATTTAAGGTTTACAGTGCAACAAATTTAGATGTCTGCATTGATAACTGTGTGATTTCTGGAATAAAAAAGACAGTTTTTGAATTGGTCCAAATTTGTGTGATTTCATCATTTACTGATACTCTTCTTTAAACTTTGTATTTTACTCATGGTTTAACTGTCAGGTGCTGTTTTCTAATATTGCAGCATATTTATTTTCAGACGTTGTCGTCATAAAGAAGTGCAAGATATGAAGATGATACAGTCCAAATCAGTATCAAGTGATGTCCCAACAGCATAATCCTTGGCTGCATATTTTTGATCCCTCTTGACTCCTCTTGGTCTGTTACATAACGTCGCTAAGCTTTCTTTGAAGTTTTGACAGTGGCGTGGCTTAACTTCTTTGTGTTAAAAAATGAAGGAGGAAGGTCACTGGAAGCCAAACAACTAGGGCTTGTGAAATGCTGCAGTGTTGAAAACAGACGAATGGAATTTGTCAATGTGTATTTTTGGTTAAATGCCCAATTTATCATGATTTTCTGGAGTGGTTTGATGCTTGTTGTGCTAAAACTGTCTTGAACCTTGTCTCCTGTTTTTGTCTTCAGAGAGGTTGTTGTATTCGTTGGGTGTTTTCCCTCAAATTAAGGCTCTAATGAGGTGTTTTTCTTTGTCTTTGCTGTCTTGCAGGAATGTTAACTCTAGGCTTTTCTAGACCAGAGGCCCACTGCATCCTCCTCTAAAACTAGAACGTCCTCAGTGCCGGTGGATAACCCCATCCGAAGCACACCTAGTGAATTTGACCTGACGGTGGATACTGCAGCTTCCATCCAGACAGCAAACCAAAGCAGAGCATTGCTCTTTTTTTAATTACTTAATCAAAAACTTTGACTATTTGATCAATCCTTTTTCTGGAGGATTTATCTTGCCGTAAAATTTCCAGATAACCTGTAAAAATGGGTCCTGGAATGGAGGCAGCGGACATTGCTGTGGTGGCACTTTACTTTGTTGTGGTGCTTGTCATCGGGTTTCTTGCCATGTGGAAAGCCAATCGCAGCACTGTGAGTGGCTACTTCCTGGCTGGACGCTCAATGACATGGATAGTGATAGGTGCATCGCTCTTCGTCAGCAACATTGGCAGTGAACATTTCATAGGCCTGGCTGGGTCGGGAGCTGCAAGTGGCCTTGCCGTTGGAGCATGGGAATTTAACGCACTTTTTCTTCTGCAGCTGCTCGGCTGGGTGTTTATCCCTGTGTATATCCACTCCGGAGTGTACACCATGCCTGAGTACCTGTCAAAACGCTACGGGGGCCACAGGCTAAAAGTTTACTTTGCTTTGTTGTCTGTGTTACTCTACATTTTTACCAAGCTCTCTGTGGATTTATATGCTGGAGCCCTCTTTATTCAGGAGTCCTTAGGGTGGAATCTTTATCTGTCTATTCTCCTGCTCATCAGCATGACTGCTTTGCTAACCATCACTGGTGGCCTGGTTGCAGTGCTCTACACTGATGCACTCCAGGCAGTGTTGATGATTGGTGGAGCCCTAACCTTAACCATCATGAGCCTGATTCAAGTTGGTGGGCTTGAGGGTGTCAGAACTAAGTACATGCAGGCCGTTCCCAATGTCACTGCAATAGTGGCTGCTGGAAACTACACCTACTCTCCTTCCTGCCGCATTACGCCCAAACCAAACTCTCTGCGCATGCTTCGAGGTCCCCTGGATGAAGATAACCCGTGGCCAGGCTTCATTCTCGGCCAGACTCCAGCTTCAATTTGGTACTGGTGTGCAGACCAGGTCATTGTTCAGAGAGTCCTTGCAGCAAAGAACATCGCCCACGCCAAGGGCTCTACCCTCATGGCTGGTTTTCTAAAGGTCCTGCCCATGTTCGTGATAGTCATTCCAGGGATGATTTCTCGCATCATGTTTGCAGACGAGATTGCCTGCATTGGGCCAGAGCACTGCATGGCTGTGTGTGGTTCTCAGGCTGGCTGCTCAAACCTTGCATACCCACGCCTTGTCATGGCGGTGATGCCTGTGGGACTCAGGGGTCTGATGATGGCAGTCATGATTGCTGCCCTGATGAGTGATCTTGACTCCATTTTCAACAGTGCAAGTACCATCTTCACCCTGGACATCTACCAAACTTTTCGAAAAAAGGCTTCTCAGCGGGAGCTTCTCATTGTGGGCCGCATTTTTGTTATCTTCATGGTGGGAATAAGCATTGCCTGGGTCCCTGTTATAATTGAAATGCAGGGTGGACAAACATACCTCTATATTCAGGAGGTTGCTGGCTACCTAACTCCACCAATTGCAGCCCTCTTCCTGCTCGGTGTGTTCTGGAGACGGTGCAATGAGAAGGGTGCATTTTGGGGAGGCATGACAGGTTTCACACTCGGCACCTTACGACTGATCCTAGCTTTCACCTACCGCCAGCCTCGCTGTGACCAGCCTGATGACAGGCCTGCCTTCATAGTTAAAGTCCACTACATGTATTTTGCAGCTGGGCTTTTCTGGATTTCAGGGCTGGTTGCTGTGGTGGTCAGCCTTTGCACCACTCCACCAGATGATGAGCAAGTTCGCACGACTACAGTATGGGGGCTTCGCTACGTTGAGAAAGTTCCTTGTAAGGATCGTGATGAAATGCACAGACTTACTGAGAAAAATCGCAGCAATGGAGATGAAATCCTTCACAAGGAAATGCCACCAGACATTAGAAAGGAGAGGCATCTAGATGGAGCAGACATCAAGCTCCTGGTGCCATCCACTGACCACGACCCAGCAACGCCAAGCACAGAAACATCCCCTGCCACCATCCCTGCAGAACGCTACGGTAATGGAAGGATGGAGATGGTCGGGGCAGAAGAAGGATGTTATATCGATGGTACAAGAAGCAAGTGTTTGCGTTTACTGGGATGGTGTTTTGGAGGCAGAGAAGGGTCGCAGAGTGCCCCTCAGAAAGTAGTGCAGGACGACAGAAGAATCATAGCAGAGATGCTGTACGAACCACCCACGGTTAAGATTCTTCTCAACATTGGCCTGCTGCTTGTCTGCTCCGTGGGCATCTTCATGTTAATTTATTTCTCTTTTTGGTGGAGCCCTGCACCCAACTAACAAGGACTGATATTTTTATTTTATTTTTATAAAGATGGAGGTGATATTAAGGGTTAGGAGTTGTTGCAAACAACAGTTGAATTTTCAGAGATTTGGGAAGCTCTGTCTGTAATATTTACAGTGGTATTTTTTTTTTAGCTCTCTAACAGGGATTTAAGCTTATTCTAGTCATTTTTTAAATGATGAAGCCTTTCCACATAGAAAAATTGTATTCTTTCTGACTATGAAGCCTAATTGGCACAGGCATATCTATTTTGTACAGGGCTTGCTAATCCTGCATTCAGAATATCTACTGGAAAATTTTTAGACTTGTACTCAAAGTAAGCATTAATATTTGCCTTATTTTACATATGCACTTGTCTCTCTGTATGGAGAAAAAAACAACATTTGTCTGTGATTTGAGCGTTTCCTCCATTCATATTGACAGTAATTGTGAATTCTGTTGCTTGTGTAGCATACGTGTTTCTGAAGTAACTCAAAAGGTGTTTTAGTTGATAGGTCATGACTTCTTGTGATAGTTTCTGTCACTGGACACAGTATAATTGCTGCACTACATGAGTATAATTTCAAGAAATATCACGTATCTGTTGCAGAAATATATCTGACTTTTAGTTCTTAAGTGCCCATAATGGCGTTTGTTGACATGAGCCAATATTAAGTGCTAAGCTGCATTGCTTGTATATGACCACAGTAATAGTGAGAGTTATCATAATGACTGGTTTCAGTAGGCCTTCTGATGTTTTTCAATGAAAATTCAAGTTTAGAGTGTAAGAATGACAGTTTTCTGGAGCACAGAAAAGAGAGGCACTTGATTAATAGCTGTTGTACATTTTAAAACCCTCTTAAAAATGGTAATACCGTATGATACATATAAAGCATCTTCACTTACACATCTGTTCAGTTTGTCACTGATGACCAGATGCAAGTTTTTCGACTGGAGTTGTATTTTATTTTTGTATTCTTGGATGATTTATATGTTGCGTATTAGACTACTGTGTTTCTGTTATAAATAATATTTCTGTGACTGTTATGTGTTATACTTCCAAAACAACAAACAGCTTTTTATGTGTTACTATTGTATCACAAAAAATACCAATGCCCTGGTTCAGTGTGATTTTTTTATACGTTTAACAGTTCAGTTGTTGAAAAGTGTGCTGAGTCTGTTGCATTATGTTAACAGTGTGTGAATTAAATTTCAGGGCTATTTGGATCATTCCAACATGATTTCTTTCCATAGTGGGCCATCTATTGTGTATCTACTGTCTGTATTTCTACCTTGAGTGCACTACAGTTCTGAAATGTCATTTAATCTTCTTTCAAGTGCATCTTTTATAGACTTCCTGCCGACTGTGTCTTAGTGTGCAATGCTTAAGTGAAAAAGAAGTCGAAACAAAACAAACAAAAAAACAGAGTTGAGTTGTATGCTCTTTGAACTGTACAGTGATTACAACATTTGTTTAAAAGCATCTTATGAATCAGCTGTGTCATGTAGTATATTTTAGCTTTCTATCAATAGAGAGTGGTAATGCATAGCAGTAACAACATTTCAGACTTCTTTTTTTGCAGAATAAGCACATTCACTGATGAATTCATGCCCAACATGATACTGATAAACTCATTCAGGGGCCGGACATTTCCCAAATTTAAAGATAGATTACTGTGTTTGTTCACACACTTAAATTATCAGCAGTGTTGATTGACTAAATTCCTAAACATCAGGGCCATTATGTGATGGTTCAGTTCTCACAAAAATCATAAATGATGCACAATGAAATGATGAATGATATGTGGTGGTTTCTATATGTGAAAGAGCTTTAAAAACTTTGGCTTTTTTTCTGACAGAGTACACATTGTTATTTTTATGGATTTTATTTTTAGAGACAGAAATAAAGTTTCTGTGGAGACAAAAACATTTCTCGTTCTTTCTCTTGTTCTGAGCTGTTGTACAATAAACACAAACATACACTTTGATTTTAAAATGTCATTGCCTGATAGGCTTTTCATTTCTTACAGAGTTGTGGGGTTCTCTGACTCATCAGAATCAGAATCGCCTTTATTGTCATTGTACACAGTAGCAAAAGTAATAAATAAATACTAAAATGAAAGCCATTTAAAACACAAAGATAAGGTAAGAATAAGAAGAAAGAAAAGTAAAAAGGCAGTAATATATACAGTATATATATATATATATATGTGTGTGTGTGTGTGTGTGTGTGTGTGTGTGTGTATAATAAAATATAAACAAAACAGGAATGAATGATATGAAACCCGATAATTGCACAAGTGAAGCCCAGTGTTATTGCACAGATAATGATACATTTATTGCACTATGATCAATGTGATCAGTAGTATATGTTGGTTGAGGGGGACAGGACTCATGGCAAGCTTATGAATGTTACTACACTCTACTGATCATGTGATCATCAGCTGGTTCAAAGTTGGAGAAAGACATGCAGCATCCTGGTCTTGTGATACTGCAAAACAAATAAAAGACCAGAATTTTTTAAAACTCCAGCATCTGGTGATTGAAATGTAGTCAAAGCTCATTTTCATTTATGACAAACTCATCCTTTGACTCATTTTTCAGGTTCAATTCTAGCTGTTTGAAACGGTTGACTTGGCTTACATAAAACCCAGCAAGACTGTAATAATCTGCTCAGAGCCAGCCAGAAGAGGATTGGATGATTTCAGGTTTCATTATTCAACAAATCGAAAAGCTGGGATCAGATCAGTAGGGGACAAATCTCTACTTCTACCTCTAAACATCTACTTATCTGCTGTCACATCGCTGAAATCCACTTCAATATATAATTATGTAAAAATATAGGAGCAGCCTTTCAAGTCAGGTATGATCTCTGGAGGATTGCATTTCGTTCATTATGGTGTGACACAACCTTATCCAGAAACATCTTTCTGCATCATTTACTTTAGTTCAGATGTTATTGACTGTATGTTTTCTGGCACGCAGCTTCAACTCATCTCTACCTCAAAAGAACTAAATTATCTCATGACCCTGAGGCAAATGTCAAACCAATTATTAATGGAGGTTAAATTATGAAGTTATTTCTGAGCTGGTCTCACAATCATGTCTTTGTTCCTTTGATGTGTTTGCAGCTGAAGTATCAGTCCATATCCATATTCATGTTCTGAAAGTAGCACCATAGTTATTCAAATGTATTTTCAAAGGGAGTCTTAAAAGCCTGAAAATATGAAGCTGGCAAAATCATCTGGCTTGTAGAAAAATTATTTATTGACTTGCCTGGAGTGGAAGTATAAAGAAGCACAACAATAAAACAAGCATTTCAAAAGTGTGGGGTTTCTAGATAAATAATGACCATTTCACATCATTAAAACTGAGCTCTTACACTTCCACTTCATTTCAAAATAAAAGCATCCTATGGTGCATTTCATAATTGGTAAATTACTGTCTCATGAGAGCTGTTCTGTGGAGTTCTTGAGCCAAATGTAAACACATATGAAGTGTATCAGTGTGCTCACATTTGATAAACAGTAATACATCTAATCTACAGCTGAGGATGAAGGGCATGTCATTAAACATCTATCCATTTGAGCAGGGGGATACAGATTATGGCTAAAGCTGAGAGATGTAGAAATGGGGATTAAAAATCAGGACATTCTTCCAGTGGCTTTAGAGAAATTTTGTATGTCATCGAAATGTCTCCTCACCTATAGCAAATTGACTCAATGAATGTTGAATTACTAAATAAAGAAACTATGAGCTGCTGGCAGAATGATAGGAAATGTTTTTGATCCAAATTCCTGCATAAAAATCTTTGTATACAGTACAGTCATGCTCTTTAAACTCCTATTAGTGCGTAAAAATGCCAAATCAAGATTTCAAAACAATGACCAGTTTGTAAAGCATGAAGAGTTTATGACAAGATTTGTTAAACCCCACAAAGATCAAATAGTGTACAGTAAATGTGTTGTATATCACACTGCAATGTGTGTGTGTGTGTGTTTTTCATGGTGAAGTATCAGTACTTAGACTCTGAATATTTCCACTACTTGAGCTGTTGAGATGATCAGGTATAGTAGCATTTATCTCACTGGTACCCTTCATGTTTACAATGAGCTATGCTTGTTTTTCTCCTCCACCAGTATTAAAATTGCATGCTGCACATTGTAACTTGACATCAACACTCTCCAAGGCAGCACTTTTATCAAACGCACTTTGAGTTTTGGACTTTCCTAATCAGTCCTGACTCTGACAGACCTTCTAACGCCTCCACTATCCGTCACACGATGCATACCCTCCCTCCTTCCCCAGAGGAAAGTAATAATATTGTCCTCGTGGAAAAGTCCCGGCATGCAGGCCAAGCTTTGTTCATTGTCCATTTCAGGCAGTGAGAACGCAAACAATAGTTCAAAACAAATGCTTCAAATGACTTCACAGCCCTGGGAAAATGATATTATGAGATGGGATTAATTAAGTTTTTGGTGTTATATTCAGTTGAATGTCTTGTGTAACGTGCATTTAGAGAAAAATATTAAAACTTGCGTCATCATTATTTGAAAGTTATCATGTATTATATTTTCATACTACTTTAAATGAAGGTTGCATAACATAAACAGTTTTTGAGGATGGAGACACATCAGTGTTACATGATCCTTGTGGAAGATGAGATGCCTTTTTAGCCTAAGGACACCATAACTTAAACATAACATAGCAGGTCTTTGTTACAACCTGTTTTTCTCAGCCAAAGTCAACAGTGTCCATGCCATTTCTCACTACTCTTTTACTTTCATACTACTGGGACAGGAAGGGATGCAACTAAAAAGGTTTCTGTGATACTAACTGTTGAATAAAGAAAAGCCCCTATGGTTCAAACTTTATGGAGCTATCTTCACGGAAAGCATTAATTTGTCTTTTTTAAGTGAAAATATTCCAGGTTTACGTTTGGACCATATAAGTTGCAGCAAATTGATTGTTCTGTGATCCAGCAGCTACCTTCAGGTGCATGATTGTTTAAATAGATGCAGCATACAACACGTGCACCTATGTCTCCATATGTTCCTGACAGCTAAGAGCCAGTGCCATTCATGTTACAGCTGGGTTCAGCAGGGATAAGAAAAGGTTAGGCAGTGCAGTGATGGAGAAATGTGAGCTCCAGACCTGCCAAAGTCTTGATTTCCAATTCTTTGAATCAGATCCAATGATGTTGAAACATAAAGCAGCAGTCAGCACAATCACACCCGACATTTGAGGAGGATTTCGACTGGTCTGATCTTTTGAAAGGCTTGTCCAGCTGGCACCAGTCATTGGCATGTAAACACTATGGAGTCTGCTCTTGAACTCTGCCTTTTGGAGTCCAAAACCTTTAAGACCCTTGCTCTCAAAAGCCCTGTGCACAATAGGGATTCAAGTTGAGTTTATACAGTACTGTATTTGAGGCCAACATGCAGAAATACCATTGCAACACAAACTGGCTAATTTAGTGAACAATGGTCAACACAATCTGTTTGCAAACTCTGATTAACAATGGTTGGCTGCGTGCTCCTTCAAACATTTGCCCATCATAAAGGTTCATGCTGTGCTCACTGTCGTGCAGCTCCGCAATTTTTTTTTACAACCCTTGAATTCTTTACCAGCTGCACGCAACCATGTCTCAGAAAATGCAGTTACGCTGCAATTTTTTAAACATTTAAAATTAATCTTGAAGCGGTGGTTTCATGGTTGTTGGGAAGAAGTCTGTTAAAAATCACCAGGCTGTGTTAGACTCTTAATTTTGATTTTTTAAAAAACCCTTTGTTAACAATAACTTACTCTCAATGGCAAGAGCAACACCAAAATGATCTCTTCATATCAAATCACTCATCAGAAAAGAGTTTACTTTACTTCTGCTTGTCGATACCGAGATGTTATTTTTTGTTTGTTTGTATTATATAAGCATGATTGCAGTCTCATCCCACAATCAAAGCAATGGCAGGAAAGCCGATGTGTACATCTCTAAGAAACTCAAACTAATAGTATAGTGATGAATGAAACAGTGTTTAATGATGTCACTTCTACCTTGTTTGTTTTTAAGGTGTGTCAACTGTAAAGCTCCAAGAAGGAGAGCTGAACACAGCCAAAAGCTCACATTTATATTCTTGCGAAAGACCTGTTCACCTTTTCTAATGTGGCTGTCAGTGGAAATGTTGTATTTATGCAAATAGTTATAAATAAACTGTCTCATGTTTGACTGTGACCTTAAATTAAAAACTTTACTTTAATGTGAACCACTCTAAGAAATGATTAGCCCTGAAATATTCCTGCACAAGTTTGTTTCACCTTGCCTAGTATGACCTTAATATAGCCAGGTAATATGCAGGAATAAGCAGAGTAATAGGATGCTTTCATGGTGAGACAGCACTCCTTCAGGATTTTAATGTGTTAATGTTCACCATAGTTCAAGTGAGTGCTATTATCAAAATGACCTTGCATTACGCAGTAAGTTAGCAACACTGTTAGTCATGTATTTAGTTTCTGATATGAACTAAGCTCATTCTTTTCCCTGCTAGCAAGTTGTAATTTACATGTCTTAAAAAAACTATAAAGAAAAACTATTTTACTGTACTGCAGTAAAGCACTTTTGAACATAAAAAATACATCTGTTACTCAATGTTATTGGGGTGACAGTAAAAACAGCCACGTAAGGAATGTTGTGAGTCCTTTCAAATATACGGCAAACACATAGTGACTGCATGCCTATCATTCTCCATTGAACGCCCCGACTAAGCTACGCAGCATGCCAGGAATTATTGCATTAATCCACGGCACAGAGTTTCAATGGCAAAAGGAAATATTTACTATCCTCAGCAATAACAGTGAGAAGAATAGTGTCTGTGGGTATACGACATCATGAATGAGAATCAATGAGCCAGTGAAGCCTTTTCCGGTCCGTCTGGGTCAAAGTGATCAACAACAAAATTCTTGATAAGTGATGAATCAACACAGCTGCTGCTGATGTGTCTGATGGAAACTTCTGACAGTGATCGACTCAGCCAATGATATGGT